CCTTATAATCCAGAGCACCTAATAGTGCGTAAAATACGGTATTTTTGATTCATGTTATGAAACTCATTAGAACATTGACTTTGTGGTTTGTGAGGTAGATTAATTGGCCATATTTAACCAGAATTTATTCACTTTTTAAGATTTTCTTTTTAAAGTTTTGCAACAAATGCAGCCAGGAATCAGATATTATAATCCTGATTGGATGACTGTACAGCCCTACTGGTGGTTTTCATACTGTGGTGCTGTCTGACTCTTAGATGGGGGCAAGGGACAGATTTCCCTGTTGATTACATTGTACTTGGTCATGAAATATACATTCCATTTTCTTCCGCTTATCCGGGGCCGGGTCACAGGGGCAGCAGTCTAAGCAGGGACTCCCAGACTTCCCAGAGTTCTTCACCCCAGACACTTCCTCCAGCTCCTCCAGGGGAACCCCAAGGTGTTTCCCAGGCCAGCGCAGAGACATAGTCCCTCCAGTGTGTCCTGGGTTTTCCCTGGAAGTTAAATTAGTGACTAGACCAAAAGTTAAATTAGTGACTAGACCCATTATACAACAACAAAACAATATGAAATGTAGCTGCCCCGTCTGTGTTAAATGTTATTGTCCTATAGAATGTTGTAATGTTATCTGAAACCCAGCAATAGGATGTGGTCATTTTATTGTTATCTGCAGTGATTGCATAATGACTCAGGGCTGGAGCCTGTATTCCTGTACCAATTATAATAGAATTTTTGTCTTAGAAATAACCAAGAGAAATTTTGAAACTTGTTGCATTTCGTTGCAAATCTCTTGGTACAATTTTGTATCTACACAGCACAATAACTAAACCAAATGCTCTTTTACAGTAAGTCCCTCCCACATTAAGCCAGACATTCCTTCAGCTCTCTTCCTCTATTTGTCGCTATTTCTCCTTCACGACTTTTGCAACATTTGAGCACTTTTCTGGGCCAAGAGTCACCAGATGTTTTTTGACAGTTAACATCAAGGCTAAGTATAGAATATGCTTTTTGTGCCGCCCCCAAACCTGGAAAGGGTTCTATCTATTTGTATTTATATAAATATAATTACCTGGACTAGGGCTGCTGGGGTTCAAGAATGTCCCTTGCGGTAACTTTACGTGCCTGTGCACCGCGGAGTGTGCTGTGGAGCACAGAAGCCCATAAGAATACATGTACAAAAATGTATATAAAACCTAAGTGACAGACACATGCATGTGTAGTGTAATGTAGTTTTACAGACAACTTACGATCCCCAATATATTATATATGTATATATATATATATATATATATTATCCTGAAGTGAGTATCACCACTGTATACCTCCACAGAGTTGCCTGCAGGGGGCGCCTGCAAGCACTGTGTGTACCTTGAATCACCCCACTGAATCTAAATGAACATCTCAAGTTAGACATGGAGGAGTGGCACAGTGAATATTGACCAAACTGTTCACCAAGCCTGTTCTTTCACTGGGTACTGGTGATGCGCGGGTCGACATGGTTAATGATTATCCTGTGGTTATTCCATGGGTCTATAATAAGAATAAGATTTTATTATAGTTCAATGGGTTAACCCCGCTGCATGGGGCCTCATTGAAATGCACAATGCAGTTACTGCGGTCACCTGTACCCTCGGGCAGTGTGATCGATCGTACCACGGTATTGCAATATTGCAGTTTCCTCGACAGCCCCTGGCCTGGACATCTACCTAAACAGACGTGTTAGTCTGGGTCTAACGAGCTTGTTTAAGTATTGAAGTCCAATGAATATTTTTATTTCAGTTTCTAACATCTGTCAAAACCTATAGTAAAGAAAAATAGCTGTAATTTGGAGTTGTAATTTGGAGAAGTCAGTCTAAGTGTTTGAGATTTTTCAGTTTGTTGTTGCTGTGATGGTTTTGGTCTCTATAAAGCCACCCATGCAGTGAACACATTGTTATTGTTGTGTTGGTGAGTCACAGGCAGAGTCGGCCTGTACAATGGCCGCCGTTCACTCCAGGGAAACATGCACAATAAAGTGTTAAGTCCACTGTCAGCTCCCACGGTGCTATGGGCTTTTTCAGCTCTTATGAGTTCTTGTGAACATTTAAAGGTAACTAAAACATCTTAAGCTTGCCCAGTATTTTTGCCTGTATCAGCTTTGAGAAGGAGTTTGTTAGATTGTGAAATATGATATTTTGTTGGATTTTACTACATTAAAAACCTTTTAAAGATAGTTCAGGTCTGTGGAGATGCTGCTTTGCTCACAATAATGTTTTTGAAGGTATTCTCGGGCAATGAATACACCTGCAATTTGCTAAATGCAAGCCCTCTTTAAAAAAACATTCAAAATATAACACTATAACCATAAACACATTTCAGTTAATTTTTTTACACAACATAAATTATTGACAACATAAATCATCGCGCACTAGGCTAATAGTAAATCTCAATTTGTACAACAAAGACATTTCACATTGTTACCACCTGTTTTTCTTGTGTTATGTCGGCTTGTAGCTGTTGTTTTGAGACAGCCACTTGAGTTTCTGACGCACAAATATAAACCACTGAATATTTATCCAGTCTGATGTCAGGGCCTCCTGCTGTCAGCCCTGACATGTTTTCGTTTCTCCTCTCCTCCTGTTTAACACTCTGCTGGAAAAATATGTTTAGCTCTCACTTAGAATACTGTGGGATAGTGTTAGGCATTTGTTTTGAGCAAATATGTGAAGCACTGTTCATTCCATTACCAAAATTATTTTTTAATTTATTTATTTATAAGGGAAGCTGCTTGAGATGTAGCATCTCATTTGCGAGGGACTCTTAATACATGAACAAAAGTAGCATTTACAGAAAAGAAAGAAACAACAAATCAAAACAGAACGAAAGACAAACAAACAAAGACAACATTCACACAACACACAGACAGCATTCATACTATACAGTACAGAATCCTAAGATATACATACATCCCTCTGATTTTATCATCACCACACCTATATTTGTAAATTAGTGAAGAAAAACAAAAGAAACTCTATGTACAACAGAAAGTACATAGAACAAAAATGTATTTTTATCGAAAACAGAAGCAGTGTGTGTAAGTGTCTGAAGACTGACGCCTTAAACTGGTGGATTGATGTAATTGATCGGATTGAGGATGATAAGTTGTTCCGTTCATTTGGAGCTTTGAAGTTAAATGGTCTGCGGCCAGTTTCTTTTTTTTTATTTTTTTTTTATTATTATAGGAACATTAAACAATTATTGTTCAGTGTGACAGAAATGATATGCTGATCTAAATGGAATCAGAAACTCTTTTATGTAGGGTGGGAACTTTAAGTAATAACATTTAAACACAAATTGCAAAAAGTGTAAGTGTCTTCTAGATGTAAGAGACAGTGGTGTGTTCTATAGGGACGTCTTAATACAAACCTACATATACTGTTATAAATGACATCTAACAATCGAAGGTTAGAAGCTGAGGTGTTCTGATAAATTATGTCTGCGTAGTCGAGTATTGGTAGAGATTGGTAAATTATACTAAAGAGAAGGGACTCTACCTGATTTTTCCATGTAGTTGAGCAAAATTTATTTGCCCTGGTACACATGTATTGTAAAAAATAATGTGTAAAGCTGGCCAATTTATCAATATTCAAGATCAGTATCATTTTGCTGTATCAGTAGTAGAGCCGTGCTGCTGTTCTGCCTCATTTCCTGTCAGTTAAAATGCCCTGAGCTAATTATTGGGTCATTCCACGCCATTTCATCAAATTTCCAGAAAATCTCACGCATCATGTTTTTAAAAAATTTGAAAAAACTACCAGCTGGTCCCTTACCATCATGTACCAACCCTGTGAAATTTTAGTGATTTTCAATCAATACTTTTTAAGTTACAGCTCATTGAGTGAGGGAAGTATTTGTCAATTTACGGGCCCAAAATGCTTGTAATTTTTTCTCGTCCGTTTTCACAGGTCGATATCTCGGTAAGTATCACACATAGAGGGCTGAAATTTTGTTGTTCTCTACTCTGTGTTCAAATAACATCTATCGAAAGTTTGATATCTCATCTCATTGTCATTTTATATGAACTTAAAAATGAAAAAAAAAATAAAACTCATTCATTTCCATGGCCTACCATTTTTAGCCCCTTTTTAAACCTGCTTGTAGGTGTTGGAGACCCGTGAATTTTTTTTGAGAATCAAGATATGTACTAGGACTGTTAAAAAAAATTACCAAATGTTGAAAATTTGAAATATGTTATGTGTGAGGGTCTTGTTAAAAACAAGAAAACGCAACATGGTCCGATTTTCACATGTAATTTATGGCATGTGAGTAGTAATTTTTTCTTGAAAGACCAGAAAAAGACCTTTCATATGGTACCAAACATATGTATTTTATGAAGCTCCTTCAATTTAAGTGCTACTTACAGAGATATCGACGTGTGAAAACGACCTAGAAAAAATTACGTGTATTTTGGGCCCGTAAATTGACACATCCTCCCCTCACTAAATGAGCTGTAACTTAAAAAGTATTGACTGAAAATGACTAAAACTTCACAGGGTTGGTACATGATAGTAAGGGACTATTTGGTATGTTTTTCAAATTTTTTGAGATCGAAGTGCATGGGCCATTTGTTGAAATGGCGTGGAATGTGCCTATTGTGATCTGTGATACAATCATGATTCAGTTTAAATCTAAATAGTGCAAACTCTTCTTTCCTGGATTTAAACAATCATTTTTATCCTCCCCTTGAGCTTTTTACCAACTTGACTACCAACTAACAATCCATAATGAACAAACAAGTAAATACATTCAAGTAAATGAAACTCAAATCCCAATTTCATTCTGCACACCTCACTTATTCCTCACTCTTTCATCCAGCTCTTCGCACTTCTTTCCCTGTGGCTCTCATTACACAGACTCGTCAACCACACGTTCACCCAATGGAAACTCGAACTGTTACTGTGGTTCTTTTTTTTTTTTTTTTTGTGAGTCTGAATGTTTTCTCTCTGTGTCTCCCCCTTCAGGCCGCCGAGTCGGGGATTGTGAAGATTAAGACCATTGCAGCCAGGAACACGGACATACTGGCAGGTGAGTGACAGCTTCAAGGTAACATTTGCTTGTAAAACTCCAAAAAACTGCTTTATAACATATAAATAAAATAGCAACTTAGTGTCCGTAACCTTCCCAATGGACTCAGATAGCCAAAAGTGTACAGTTTATATATTATTCCATGATTTATTTATGCTCCAAAACATGAAGAAACAAACACACGCACATGCACATTTGTAGATATTTTTAGTCTGTGATCAATACAAGTGTTCATGATCTGGTTTAGGTGTTTTTAACAAAGAAGGTGAGTGTGAAAAACAGCTTGTGACTGTAATGTTATTTTGTAAAGTCTAATTTGAGTAAGACACAGCAGTGCACCCGGTTAGATTTACAGGCTGACTGAAAATGCAGCGTCCTGTGATGTTCTTGCCGTTCTTGTCGTAACATCTGTCTCACGCTCTTGTGGTCTGCCTGTCCCCGCAGCTCTGAAGGAGAACAGCTCGGAGGTGGTGCAGCCCTTCCTCATGGGCTGCGGAACCAAAGAGCCCAAAATCACACAGCTCTGTCTCGCCGCCATCCAAAGACTCATGTCGCACGAAGTGGTGTCCGAGGTGAGGGGTGTGTGGGGGTAAATTGTTGTGGCGAGAGAAGAGGAGGAGGCAGAGTGGGATGGTGGAGAGGAAGGCGAGAGAAAAGGATAGGGAGAAGAGGAGGAAGAAGGAGTAGTAGGAGTAGAGGGGGAGAACAGGAGGGGGAGAAAAGGGAGGACCAAGGACGTTAAGTGTAGCCAATAAAATGTGGCACAAACACACAGAGATGTTGTGTTCACCACAGTAAAAGTGGAGACCTGTTAAATTATTCATAGTTTAATTTGTTCTGTTGGTTGTCGGAGCCAATATTTACAAATCATTTATTACCACATGGTCAGGGATGTGGGGTGTGTGCTGTATTCACGCTCTGGATCAATACTCGATCAATACCCAATCATGTTGTGTAAATATAAGAAAGGTACTGTGGGTCATATTCTATGCAATAACAGGACAGCCGCGGGGTCTTAAATGTCTTACAAAGGTCTTAAATTTCATGTTCCTAAATTAAGGTCTTAAAAAGGTCTTACATTTTGTTGTCCGAGTCTTATTTTTTTCACGAAGGTCTTAAATTTCATTAGCCTATTTTTTTGTAAACTCAACCAGGCTGCAGTGTGATGTTAAACGGAGGGAAAAAACCAACAACAACAACGTGAAATCATGTAACCTGAATGAATGTCTAATTTGAAGTATACACAAACAATACTTTGGTTTCTGGCACCGAAGGCAATGAGTAAACCATCGGTTCAGTGGAGGAAGATGTTGGATGGATCATGGGGAAGTGTCGGCTTAATCCACAGTGACTCTTAGATTCTAGATGCAGTAGTTGGTTGGTCATTATTCGAATTGGATCTGATGTTTTTTGCCCGCATAATGGGAGCGAGGTTGGTCTTAATTTTCATTTAAGTGGTCTTTAAAAAGCTCTTAAAAAAGTCTTAAATTTGAGGTAGTCAAATCTGATGGTAACCTGAATAAAAGGCTAATCTGACTTTTATTTTTTCTTGTTTGGGAAATCGTCTTTTATCCAGACAGTTACAATCGATCTGATCGGGGTCAGATCTCCAGATGTTGAGCTGGTCTTGGTCTGAACCACCTTAACAGGAGGATTTGATCTATTGTGCAGGTTTTGGATGTGAGATCCATAGGTATATAATCAGTGTTGGGGAGTAACAGATTACATGTACCGGTGTTATGTAATCAGAGTACAAATTATGAGTAACTGTATTCAGTTATAGTTATCGTTTCAATGAGTGGTAATTGGTTTACAGTTACTTTGTTGAAATAAATAGATTACACAGCGGCATTTTCCTGTTTTCACATTTTGGACTAAATTAGGACTAAAACCAGGACTAAACCAGGACTAAACCAGGTCTAAACCAGGACTAAACCAGAATTAAACAACATGACACCTAACAGTAGGGTGGACATAATTAAAGGCAGCAGTGATTTCTCATAGAAATAATTTCTCTATCAATAATATTTTTAATCTGATTAAGGGAAGTCTGGGCTTTTTGTGTCTTTTAGCAGATTAAACATCTTCGTCTTTGCTTCTCTACAGCAAATAAAAGTCTGTTCGTAGAGACTTGGGCTCAACAGACAATTTGAAGAGAACAAACAAGAATTTTCAGGATGTCGTCTCTACATTCATGTAGTTTTAAAAAGCATGACAATATCAAATAATCCAAAATTTTCAGATTACGTTACTCACTTTAAGTAATTTAATGGATTCCGTTACAAACTACATTTTGGTGTATGTAATCTGTAATCTGTAGGGGAATACATTTTAAAAGTCACCTTCCCAACACTGTATATAATATCTATCCTTTGTTCCAGGCGGCTGCGGGAAACATCATAAACATGCTGTGGCAGCTGATGGAGAACGGGTTAGAAGAACTGAAGCTGCTGCAGACTGTCCTCGTGCTCCTCACCACCAACACTGTGGTTCATGATGAAGTCCTCTCCAAGGTACAACTGCCACTTTAGCATTGAGCTGCGATTTAGATTTTTTCTCTACTGCATTTTTCTGAGTCATACTTTTATTTTATATTATTTCTTAGGCTATTGTGCTGTGTTTCCGACTGCACTTCACCAAAGATAACATCACAAACAACACGGCGGCTGCTACGGTCAGACAGGTGGTCACTGTGGTGTTTGAGCGCATGGTGGCTGAGGACGAAAGGTTCAAAGGTCAGAGAAAAAAACACAGCATTTCAGCAAAGTTGAAACAGACTTTACATCTGGAGATCTAACTAACTTACGATGAAACACAGACCAAAAGTTTGTCCCCATAATGTTCGGGTTTGGCTGGAAGGTTTTACAGTTTGGCATTTAAAGCTTAATTTCGAATGGATTCACTTTGGAGTGGATCTGACTATAGTAAACTGTATGGCTCTCTTTGAGGGGTCTGGACTGGACCCTGGACAGAGCTTGAAAACATAACTGGGCTAGAAGGAGCCACACCAAACTGGGACAAGGCGGACCTAAGTGAACCGTGCCGATTCAAATGATGTATTCAATATTTTTTCCTTTTGCAGGGGGTTTATTTTTTATTACAAAAAAAAAAAAAGAAAAGAAAAATGCCAGCCTCTTCACAGATTTGACCTGTAACATGGCCTGGTGGTGTCACCTGCTTGTGTCTGTGGAGATAGATGAGGTTTATGCCATTCTGTGGAACATTCATTTCCTAGCAAAATAATCATATTAAGCAGGTGGTAAACCCTTCTTCAGAAATGTTACATACTCCACCTTTGCTTCATTTCTAAGAACTGATGATCTGTGTTCCATCTAAAACTTTTCTTTTTACATTTATTTGTGATTTTAGAAAATAAACAAATACCCAGTGATGCTCAAAACAGTTGTGGTAGAGTGTTTTTGTTGTTCTTTTTAAAGTATATTTGACTACTAGTATTTGTGATTTCTTGTAGGCATTGTGGAGCAGCCTCCTCCAGTCCAGGGAAACACTAATCGTCGGTCTGTCAGTACTCTCAGACCCAGTGCAAAGGACGCATACATGCTGTTTCAGGTATGACCACCAGGGAGCAGCCTTCTCTTTGTATCTGTCCACATTCCTCTGCTCTAAAAGACGCTGATTTATTTTGTACTTCTTTATTTTCAAACCATTTAGGTTAGGTAACACAATGTGGCTAGAAAACTATAGGCATTCCTGTTCCTACCAAGGCAATATTGTGTTTCAATGTTAATACTGAAAGTAATGTCAAAAACCTATCACGTATGACCACATTGTAAACCTAAAGACACACTTCTGTTTTGTACTTTAAATAATTTTATTGTTGTACATTATTTTGTTAACCAGTCTGCATAGTATGGAGAGGGATAAGATTGTTTTGCATGGACCTGGTTTATTTAATCCAGGTTTAGTCAGCCAGTTAAATCCCAAAGTTACTTGTGACCTTTTGGTAACGTAACTACACTTCAAAGGTAGAACTTTATCCACTTGTCCTTTATTTTGCTTCCCCTTCTTCTCCTTCACTTATTGTTTAGGTTTAAGCAGTAGCGCAGAGTAACTCAATAGCTTCCTCTGTGTCAGTCTACAGAAAAGTATGAATTACCTTACTGTTGTGTCTCTGTGCATGTCACTGCAGGATTTGTGCCAGCTGGTGAATGCAGACGCCCCCTACTGGCTGGTGGGCATGACTGAAATGACAAGGACATTTGGCCTGGAGCTTCTTGAGTCTGTCCTCAATGACTTCCCTGGAGTATTTCTGCAGGTCTGTTCAAACTATTGTGAATATGAATGTAACTATGGTTCTGTGAATTCTGCATGAGCTCCAGATCACGCTCTTGTCAGGAGGGATGACAAAGCACTATTATATGTAATGTTTGTGGTTGATGTGTGTTCTCCTCTGCAGCACCAGGAGTTCAGTTTCCTGTTGAAGGAGCGGGTGTGTCCTCTCGTCATAAAGCTCTTCTCTCCAAACATAAAGTTTCGTCAAGGCAGCACCAGCGCAGCCTGCCCCGCTCCTGTCGAGAAGCCCTACTTCCCCATCTGTATGAGGCTGCTCCGGGTCGTCTCTGTGCTCATCAAGCACTTCTACAGTCTGCTGGTACCACACACATTAACATCTTTTACAGGCTCCACTAACACTAGTTAAATATCAGAATATCTAAACAGAAAAGCCACACATACTGAACTGGTGATTGAATGAAAACTCTGTGGCTACAGAAGTATTTCACCACCACCAAGTGTGGAGTGAACGAATAAAACTACAGTGTAGCTGTTGTGTGACCTTTTTGAGCATTTGAAGTGCAGTCGAAGTTTAAAGCATTATTATTAGATCTCACCCTCCCAAAGATCACCTGTTAAAGCTGTACTCTGTAACATTTTGTGTGTAACTACATGCTATCTAAAAAACAACCAATCATTTCACCACAACTTTTTCAATTACATAAGATTAAGACGACTGCAATTATGATTTTGAGCTATGCAAAAACAAAAAAAAAACTAATTAAATAAACTAACTTCTAATCTTCATACTTTTTTCAAATGGCAATCTTCTATCAGTTGCAAATATATTACCAATAAACCACTCTACAATATTTAGACAGCAAACACGTACATCTCTGTTGTTACATTAATCTTAGGAACACAACATGAAAGTATTTTCCTGGACACAACACAGATGTTTAATTGATCTCGTCTGACTGGGATTAGTGCGTCAGTTTTGTCACAGTTCTGCTCCAGGCCCTTAAAAAGATTAGCTTTTTCATCTGTGCCTTCTTTCATGAGTATTCAATAAATCCCTTCAAATTAAAATGTTTCTATTTATATGCTTGGCTTGTAAAATGAGGGAAGCGTTTCTGGTGTCAACTTAAGTTCATTCCGAGGTCATTCTGGTTCACAGTTGTGCCTGCCACAACCAATTAGTTCAGCTGTGTATACCCAAATTCTCTCACTCTCAAATGGACATATAGCAAGAGAGTTACATTAAAACCCCAGCTGTTTTCTTGCTCTGCTCTTTTAGTGCATGAAATTAAAGACAGACATAGTTATTATTTTACATTTTGTGAATCGTAAGACGCACTATTGATCCCAAACCACTTCATAACAGAAATGGATGCACTATGGATAGTTTCTTTTAAAATCTGCACAACTGATTCTGCTGCTGGCCCAGTCGATTTGCAGTGACTTTACTGACCCCAAGCATATGTTGTCATGAAGGAATGGTCTCATAACTGTTCTATTTTTTAGCCTACACCTGTGTCTGTTTTGGTGTTTTTGATAAATGTGATATCAATAATTCAGACGATATAGGCCCACAAATAGTTGCCAAGTTGAAACCTTTAATTGTGGAACAAATTTGGAATATAAGTTCTGCGTCTCTCTGATGAAGAACTTTGGACTTTTCCTTTTATTTTTAAATTTTTTAATTTTGAGAGACTGAGAGTGAGAACATAATTTAAAAATTTCACATGTTCATATGGAAATTTGACAATAAACTTTTTGAATTTGAATTTAACCCTCTCAGGCTCAAATTAAATTTTAGTAACAGGAAAAAATCTGATATTTGGGGAAAATGATCATATGGGGTAGTAATATACAATCCTGACTTTTTTTTGAGAGAGACCTTCACATGCAGTGCATTCTGGGATGTTGCAGATTTGCAGCATTGGTCCAGTGTGGTAAATGAACACTGAAGACTGAAAATTACATGAACGCTAACTTTATGTGTTTACCTCTTTTCATAACAATGAAAACATAAAGCACAGTGTAACAGCTTCACAGTGGCAGAACAACATCACTTTTTCGTGTGGTACTTCAAGAAACAATTTTTATCCTTTGTAACCAACAAAAGTACTTTGCACTTCTGGCAGGCCTTTTGTGTGTAGCCGTTCTTGCACAGTCTGCATCATCCACATTTATCAACATGGATGGGAGAAAAGGCTGAGTAAAAAAAGCTCATAAAATATGGATTTGGAGTAAGTAGGTAATTGGCATTTAGTTTTTGCAAATCTGCAATGCCTGCCTGGAGAGGGTTAATTCTGTACACTGTAATGTACATTTAGGCTAAACTGTATGTAAATGTTTTCCAGGTGACTGAGTGTGAGATCTTCTTGTCTCTTCTGGTGAAGTTTCTTGATGGAGAGAAGCCGCAGTGGCTCCGAGCTGTGGCTGTAGAGTCTGTGCACAGGCTCTGTGTACAACCGCATTTGTTACGGTAAGCTGTACTACTGTGCATTCAGTCTTAAGTGTGTAGCCTGGAACATGGCACAACATTTAAATATCATGATACTCTTGTGCAGTTCTTTTTGCCAGTCTTATGACATGAAGCAGCACTCCACCAAAGTTTTCCGGGACATCGTGAATGCGTTGGGCTCCTTCATCCAGTCTCTCTTCATTGTCCCGAATGCAGGCAACGTGGCGGCCATCAATGCACCAGCAGGCAAGAAATGCTATTAACTGTTATTTTATTTAAAGCCTTCATTATATTCAAACCCTAAAGTCTTTTTCCCAACAGTTACTTACTTCAAGACATACTGTTGCATATAAGAATACAAATATAAATTAGTGCAGCAAGAAGACACATCAAAATCACAATTTGAATGTTCCCAATCTGCAAATAGCAAAGGCTGCAAATATTTATGTCATAATTTAATCCTCTGCAAACAACAAAAATCCTATCTCCATGGGGTCCTATTTATAAAACTTGCAATTCATGGCAAACATGTATTTGATTGATCAGTTCATTTTTCAGTCTTTCTCAAATGTTAAAGCTCTTTGATGTGTTACTCTGAGCTCAGTCTTGATTTCAAACGTAAATTAGTAATCTATGCACATTATTATAGTTTGTATTGTATATTTTGATCACTGTATAAATGCTGTAATCATTTTATAGTCAAAGCAATATAAACCCATGTAATACTTCTCCTGTCTCTGTTTGTAGGTGGCTCAGGCACAGGTCCACAGGGCTCAGTCCCGGGTGGTCCTGGTGCAGGAGGGTCCAGTGGGAGCCTCAGCACTCAGGCAGCGTTTGAATACCGTGGCACGTGGATCCCCCTGCTGCCCGTCAGTGTGCAGGGCAGCGCCAAGGCCACATAGTGCGTCACTACACTACACATGTCACAAGATCACAAGATCACATTTCAGTGTTACAGTTATTGTGAGAAAATTGTTCACTATTATTAACACAATGATTCCCCTGTTGCATGAAGAATAGAAAAAGAAAGAGCTGAAGTAGTAGTTATAATAGTAGAATAATCAAAGTATTTGACTTTTAAGAACATGCACTAGAGAATAGTAGTGGTACTGATAATACTAGATTGTAAACATACAGCAATAAGGATTATTGAGATTAAATGCAAAACATTTAATGTTAATGTGAAACATTCAACAAGCAACATCTTCATGGAGACAAGCAAGTTAGAAAAGTTAGATACATAGTACAGCTTTAAATGGACTAAAACAACGCTATTGTTACAGCACACCTATGCTTTCAAATGAAAATCTGATGATCTAGTCTAAAAACAATATCTGTTTTTTGGGGGTCTAGTCTTGAGATGCTGGACAAAGTGGAGCCCCCCTCCATCCCTGAGGGCTATGCCATGTCTGTGGCCTTCAGCGCTCTGCTGGACCTGGTCAGAGGCATCACCAGCATGATCGAGAGAGAGCTGTCAGCAGAGGACCAGTCTGCAGCAGAGTTCAGAGAGACTCATCCAGACCAGGAGTGGGAACCTCCTACAGGTGAAAACACACGGGTTTAGGCAGAATAGGGCAGTGGTTTTCAAACTTAAACTCTTAAACTCTTAAATAGGGGTATTCCTCATCTAACCTAGCACAGCTAGATGGATTTTTACAATATTTGTGAGTTCACAAATTCATGAAAATTCATTTTGGCGACCTGCTGGTGTGATAGGGTCCACCAGGTGGGTGGTTAGTCACAGCTCAGCATTGAGGTGAAGCTCCCAAACAAACTAAAAGAAACATGGCAACCCAGACAGACACTTAGCCACACCTATTTTAGAGAAAATACAGACTACCGGCATTTAATTTGTCAAAAACATGCAGAAGGTAAGAGTTGTGTATTTGTGGACAGGGAAGATGTCTGTACTTTTCTGTAAACTTTTCTGTAAATTTAGATTTTTCTATGGTTCAACCAATCAGATTCAAAAAGTGGTCATGGTGTTCCACGTTTTACAATAGCTTCCAGATTGATAATGTGTAAAACTCAGTGCAGAGTAGCACACAGATCAATTTGGCATGAACCAGGTTATTCCACTTCTAAACTATGGCAGTTTCTCTGCAACTTTGTTCGAAACAAGGACTAACACGAAAAATGACAAAAAAAGTGGATTAAATCAACTCTAAGTTACTTTAAAATGCAGAAACATCCATATCTACATTGGTGATGGGACTGATTAAGGTGAGGTTACTTTAATTGATCCTGAAGGGAAATGGGTTCTTTGCATTTGACCCACTTTACCCATATCTCAGGGGCAAATTTAGGAGTAGTGTGCTATCAGATCTTGAGCTAGTCTTAGTCAGAGCTACCTTAGCTGGAGGATTTGACCTATTGTGCATGTTTTATGTCTCAGATTTGCCCCAGTGGCCTTGAATGGATTCATTTTCCATAATAAAGTACCTTTAAGTGTATCTTAAATGTATCTTTAGATCTTTTTATAAATTCTTTGTTGTGTTTCAGGAGCCCACTTGGTTTGGGAGGAGATGGTCAGTGCGTGCTGGTGTGGTCTTTTGGCAGCACTATCTTTGCTGCTAGATGCCAGGTAAAATATATACTATACATTGATTTATGATTTATTGTATGAAAATAAATCATCTGCTTTTGGATAGGTGTATTGTTATTCAAATAGGGAATGCCTTCTGTTATGTTAATTCCACGCTCCTCTGCCCTTCAGCACGGATGAGACGGCGACAGAGAACATTTTGAAGGCGGAGCTGACCATGGCGTCTCTGTGTGGTCGTCTGGGTTTGGTCACTCCACGAGACGCATTCATCACGGCTATCTGCAAGGCTTCTCTGCCCCCTCACTATGCCCTCACGGTCCTCACCACCAACGCCAACAGCATCTCCAGCAAAGGTACTCTATCAGTCTGTTGTATTGTAGAGTAACAATACTTAAATACTAATCAATACAAAACTAGTATTGGTGCTGAAAAGAATCACATGCAAGACTGAAGTGGACTTTTCCTGGATAGTTTTAGAATTATGTCATGTATAAGAACAAGTATAAAACCACCAGTGTTGGGAAGGTTACTTTTAAAATGTATTCCCCTACAGATTACAGATTACATACTCCAAAATGTAGTTTGTAACGTAATCCATTAAATTACTTAAAGTGAGTAACGTAATCTGAATACTCTGGATGACTTGATTTGCTGTAGAGAAGCAAAGACTAGGAAATCTTCACATAAGATGTTCTGTCTGTTAAAAGAAAATGAAAAGCTCAAACTTTACTTAACCAAATTAAAAATATTATTGATAGAAGAGGAAGAGGCACGGTCCACACAGCATGATTTAGTCCTGTTAAATCCTGTTTGAGACATAGTTAGACCTGGTTTTAGTCCTGGTTTAGCCTTGGTTTAGACCTGGTTTTAGACCTGGTTTTAGACCTGGTTTTAGACCTGGTTTTGACCTGGTTTAGACCTGGTTTAGACCTGGTTTTGACCTTGGTTTAGTCCTGGTTTAGACCTGGTTTAGACCTGGTTTTAGACCTGGTTTAGTGTCCGGCAATGAGTGGAATTACCGAAAAAAAAAAAAAAGGGAATAGTCCATGTGAAAATAGGAAAATACCTTTGTGTAATCCATTTATTTCAACCAAGTAACTGTAATCTAATTCCCACTCACTGAAACAGTAACTGTGACTGAATACAGTTACTCATGATTTGTACTCTGATTATGTAACTCTGGTACATGTAATCTGTTACTCCCCAACACTGAAAACCACACACTAATACTAATACTAAGCTTATCGTTCCATAAATAAAAGATACACAATATTCCGTGGGCTCATCATATCGCACTTGAAAATCTTTGAGCATGGCAGGCTCAAATGCTATTGTTTTGTGTTATAGTGTATAGTTTAAACAATAAGTAGTATACACTTTTACAGTATAAGGTTGTTGAGTTTCTTTTTAATCAGCTTCGATCGTTTGATTATATTGCCCACATCTACACCTACATATTTAGGATGACAATTTATATATTTTTTTTTATGTTTAATGCCAACTTTTCTTACATATATGGAAATTATAATTATTTTTTCCTAAATCATTACACAACACAGTAATTAATAAAAATCATTATTACAATGATTTGATTTGGTCTTTCTCTTCTCAACACCATTAATTCGCTTTTGCCCTGAGCCAGGCCTCCGGTCTTTATGCTTAGTTATTCTGTAGGACTAATGAGTGCTTGTCTGCTCCTGTACGTTCTACACACAAACGCACTGCTGCTACACTTCGCCACGTAAAGTGCTGCCAGGCGCGCTCTCCATTGCCCTAAACCATAATCCCTCATTTTGCATGTTCATTTCTGCATTTTCAGCAAGTGTCTAGGGGCAGTGTACACATTAACATTTTAGCTATGAAAAGAATGCAGAAACTTGTCTTACATAATATATTAGCAATGTCTTGTGATTTATGTCATATTAACTTTACTGTATCATTCAGAAAGTTTGATTTGATAAAGCTGGTCAGGTAGAGAATGCTGATCTATAACAAGCAATAAACAAACACCAACTAATATCCTAAAACTCGTAATCACAGAAATGGGGCCAAAGTGGACCTTTTCTGAATAGTTTTCAAATGATCTTAATAAGACCACATGGTAAAAAATAAAAATTAACTATTATCCAAAAAATACTAAACATTGAGTTAAAAATGTAGTGCTAGATGGTAGATATTGGAGTAGATATCTGCTTTCAAATGTAGTAAGGACCCTAAAGTATCCACTGTAAAATTTTAGTAATGTAAAGTACAGATACTTACAAATTGTGTTCAAGTACAGTACATTTACTTGTTAGTCCCCACCGCTGCTATAGTTGGGATAACTAGCAGTACTGGTCATGGTTTTGTGTATTTGCAGCCTACTCCATCCAGGGCCAGAATGTGCAGATCATCAGCCCCTCCAGTGAGTCCCACCAGCAGGTGGTGGCAGTGGGGCAGCCTCTGTCCGCTCAGCCCCAAGGCACTGTGGTGGTGAGAGACACTCCTCCTGTTACACGCACACACACACACACACACACACACACACACACACACACACACACACACACACGCACATTGTACAGTTACACCATGAACACTGTGTTTCAGATGACATCACACCATTCTGTACGCCTGCAGGCTGTGATCTGTGGTTCTTAAACTTCTCACACTAAATACTCAGTACCTATGATAATATTTGGCTTTCAACGCACCATCAGATCTTAACCAGGACTCTCTACCTCTGTCAGGTCTAAATTAGGGCTAAAATGACAGTAAACCATGAAGTTTGTTCTAAATGAAGATCAACACAAAAGACAAAACATGAATATATTTGTCTCTAAATAAAGCAATTACTCAAACTGCCAAGGGCCCCACGTATCACCAGACGTCCACCTACCACAGTTCAAGAAACATTAACTTTTGTGGTCAACCATCTGCATTTCTTAATTGTTGCTTTACCTGAAATGTTCCACCGTTTGGCATTTAACTTCTTAAGTAACTTAACATCTGTATAGCATTTAGGTCAACACAAGTGAATAAACTGAACACCTCAAAAACCTCTCCGCAGATCTGACCTGTTACTTGACCTGATGGTGTCACCTGCTTGTCTCAGCTCTATAGAGACAAGCAAGTGGCGGGCCACACATCCACTGAAAAAGTGACATAGTGTACCTTTAACAGCGGTCACATATTTGGACAGGTTTTATGAAGCCGTCCCAGGTGGCCCAAAACAGAATGGATCCAGGTGCAGACAGAGCCGGGGGCGTCACTGCTTATATATAATGCATGTGTGACAGGCCCCGTCTCTGCTGCTGTTTGACATTAACCAGGAATAATGAAGATGTCTCGACCAGTGGAGCTGACAGCTGTAGTGGCACACTGCTATAACTTTCTCTCTCCTCTCTCTCTTTTCCACTCTTCCCTTTCTCACTTCTCCCTTCTTCTCCAACCGTCTCTCCCCTCCTTCCTCCCCCTCCTGCCACCTTGTCTCGCTCCTGTACTTCTCTCTGTCTTCTCCTTCTCAATCTCTCTCTCTCCTGGTCTCTGACACCCTGCTCCCCTTTGTCTTCTTTTCCCCATACCCCTTATTCACTTTTCTCTCATCCTCTGCTCTTTCTCTCTGCCTCTCTCTTTCTCTTTCTCCCTTCATTTCTCGCTCACTTTCCCTTTCCCCTTACTTCTCTCCCTTTCTTTTCTCTCAATCTCACTTGCTTACCCCACCCCACTCTCTCTCTCTCTTTCTCTCTCTCTCTCTCTCTCTCTCTCTCTCTCTCTCTTTATCTCTCTTTATCTCTCTTTATCTCTCTCACCCCCCTCTCTCTCTTTTAGCTGACTGCCAAGAACATCCAGTGCATGCGGACCCTGTTGAACCTGGCCCACTGTCATGGAGCTGTTTTGGGCTCGTCCTGGCAGCTCGTACTCGCCACACTGCAGGTACTGCAACCTCCACGTCATGTCCACAAGTGTACATAGAATCATACATGCAGTCACTGAAATAACACTGTGAACTAAAACTCAGTTTTTTACTATTTATACTGTTTAATATTGTTTTTCTATTGAGCTGCTGTATCTTCGGGGATTTTTTGTTGGCTGAAATAATCTAGTTGTGACAGTAATAGTGAAAACATAGTTCAACAAGGTCCAACATAAACAGAAGTTTTCTCTCAATTCTAACAGCAGCAGTAGTCAGAGTTGAAGAGTAGTAGAGTAGTAGTTTTAATAAAATTGTATTTTGTTGTGTTATCATTAAATAACTAATGTCTTAATATATATATATAATATAATATATTTTTCCTAAACATAAACAATATATATTTTTAAGAAATAACATTTAACACTCCATTAAAACACACAAGTATATCACTGACATGGAGATGACTGAATCTGGAGCTTGGTTAAAAATGGATTCATTGTACTGCACTAGTAGTAGTTCTACTGTAATAGTACCAGCAGTATCAGTAGTACTATTACTCTTCTAGTATACTGTCAAGTACTTCTATTCAGTTAATACTAATTTAGACATTTTATAATGTCATGTTGATGTCATAATGTTACAATTTATTTTATAGTATAGATTTTTGTTTGTTTCTTCTTCAGCATTTAGTCTGGATTCTTGGTCTGAAACCTGCAGTGGGCGGTGCCTTAAAACCTGGTCGAGCTGTTGAGGGCCCAAGTACGGTATGTCACCTTCATAATCATAATCTTGTTTTGTCTTTAATGAAATCTGTAATGATCCAATGGAGTAATTGTCAATGGCTGCACCTGTAGTGGAGTGAGAGTTAACACTGTACCATGTGAACAGTTCAGCAGCGTGTTGTGTTGTGTGTAACATGTTCAGGTGCTGACGACCGCGGTGATGACAGATTTACCTGTGATCTCCAACATCCTCTCCAGACTGTTTGAGAGCTCACAGTAAGTAACACTGAGTACATTTACATGGCCAGGCAAATCAGATAATTACAATAATCAGAGAACTCATTAGATGTGAATTTTTTTTTTTTTTTTTAAACATACCCAAGAGAAATGTGATCATCAAAACCACCCGGGGACATGTTTCAGTTAATCAGTGTATTTTTCTGTTTGTGGCCATGTTTGTGATTTACTGTTACACCACATAAGGAGCATTTATTTATTTTTAAATCTTACACTTTAATATTATTTCTAGATACCTTGATGATGTGTCTCTGCATCACCTGATCAACGCGCTCTGCTCCCTCTCACTGGAAGCGATGGAAATGGCCTATGGAAACAACAAGGTAATTTACTCGCTGTTTCAACAGGTGTAGTATAGAAGTAGAAGTTTTACTCAGCCGAATGTAATAAAAACTAAGGTTGTCAAAAGTATCTATACCCAGATACTTACCTGTGCTAAGGCTATTATCGGCGCTACTCATTTGTATCAAACTACTCATTTAAAAAAGTATTTACGCTTGAAAAATTAAATAAATAGAACAAATTGTACCTTTTTCAACTGTTTTTAATCTACTATGATTTGTGATGAAAACAGACTTTTATTGTATAAATAAGTATTGTTTTTTTTACCACTGAAATATCAAATTTAGTATTGAGTATAAGGCCTGTTCCTTAGTATTGAAATTTAGACAACATCCAATACTATTCACTAAGCATTATAAGCTATTTTGAACTGAAAAGTGCTTTGTAAACACCAAATAATAGTTGAATGACCACTAATTAGTCACTTTGTTAGTGATTAATATGGGGGCCTTTAAGTAGTGTCTTGCTGAATTGTTATATAACTTTCTAATTTTTTATTTATTTTTTTAATCCCGTAACTGTGTTTTTAGGAGCCATCTTTGTTTGCTGTGGCCAAATTGCTGGAGACAGGTTTAGTCAACATGGACCGTATTGAGATTTTGTGGAGGCCACTAACAGGACATCTACTCGAGGTACACACTTCTCAGTTCAGTTACAACATTAAGACCTTAGTACTTACACCAGACATTTGGAAACCCAACCATTTTAACTCTGTAGTATGCATAAGTCATTCTTTTTTGTTGTTTATTTTAAAGGTGCACTATATAACTTATATTATATGATATTATTGATATGATATTATTCCTTTGCCTGAAATGTTCCACAGTATGACATTAAATCTACATGAAGACAAGCATGTTACGGCAGGCAAACTGCAGGTCAGCTCTATGGAAAGGTGACTCCATCATCTTTGTGACAAATGTCTGTGAAAAGCTATATATATATATATATATATATATATATATATATATATATATATATATATATATATATATATATATATATTATATATATATATATATATATATATATATATATATATATATATATAAAAACTTACTTACTTACTTACATCTGCAATGAGAATACATGTTTTTCAATGTATTTTTCTTGCAATACAAACTCCTGTAATTGAAAAAAATAAATAAAAATTCTGACAAAGCGTAAACATCCCCATAGAGATGCTGACTCTACACAAGAAAAGTTACATAGTGCACCTTTAACTGATTACTGAGATGGTTACGGCTCGTCTTCAGTGTACGTGATTAGAGTGTAACTGATTTTAATTAATAACTTCATAACTTTTGTTGTTTATTGTGGATCCCCACTGGAGCACTCATTCTTCTTGGGGCCCATTAATAATTAACTATAATACAAAAACAGTGACTATATTTACATTATCATTGACTTTTGCCTTTGTTTCATAACTCACAAATAAGGCTACATTCAGACTGCAGGGCTTAATGCTCAATTCTGTTTTTTTTGTGAAATCCGATGTTTTTGCGAGGTCGTTCACATTTCCAATTAAATGTGACTTGTATGTAACTCCAGTGTGAACGTTAAATGACCCAAAAGTGTCCCACATGTGCACTGGAGACACGATGATGTCAACCACAGTGAGCGTGCTCTGTGTTTACAGAAGTTGTCCAAACATGGACGCAGCATCGAGCACCTGGAGATTTTAAAGTTCCTCTCGTACCGGAGCCAGAACATGAACAACTTACTTGTTTTAAGGAGGAGATTGAGAAGGAGAAGGACAAGGTTTTTGTCTGTGGCGTTTTGTGGCACAGAGGCAGTAACGTCCGTTGAAAGGAACGTGTGGATGTGGAGACGGAGCCAATCTCCTCCTTAAAACAAGTAAGTTGTTCATGTTCTGGCTCCGGTACGAGAGGAACTTTAAAATCTCCAGGTGCTCGATGCTGCGTCCATGTTTGGACAACTTCCGTAAACACAGAGACGCTCACTGCGGTTGACGTCATCGTGTCTCCAGTGTCACATGTCGGACACTTTCGGGCCGTTTAACGTTCACACAGGGGATCACATACAAGTCACATTTAATTGGAAATGTGAACGACCTCGCAAAAACATCGGATTTCACAAAAAAATCGGAATTGAGCGTTAAGCCCTGCAGTCTGAACGTAGCCTAAATGATCCTTTGTATATTTGGACGTTTCCTTATATTTTCTCTATCTCCTCTCTCTTGCGCTCCTGTCTGTTTGCAGAAGGTAAGCCTCGATCTTCATTCATAATCATCAGCTTTTCTCTGCAGACTATTCCCTGTCCATGTAGCTTTAGCATTTTGAGTTCAAAGATTGTTAAAAGGTTAAAGGTAAACAAGTCATGCCCAACATTTATGCTTTGCCACACTTTTTGATCCAAAATTCATGCTCTGTGTTGTGAAGTGAAAAGTGCATGTGACAGGTTTACATGATTTTCTAATTATTACTTTGTTCGGCAAGCTAGTAGTGAAGATAGTGGTAAAAATGCCAGTATAAAAATAATAAATATATGTTTTAGTTTTACAGCAGGAAATTGGCAGTTTTTGAAAGAAAATTGGGGGGAAAATTTAAAGTTACGGGAAGTAGCCATGAGTTTTTAAACAAGATTAAATCTGAAAAAAGGAAAAAAAAATTTCTGACAGTTTGGCAAAATAAAGGTGTTGTCACATAAATAAAAATGTAAATAAGCTGAGCACTGGCACTTGTTTACAACATTGTGCCTAGACAGTTATAGAATGACCTCAGAATTGCCCATACCCAACAAGGAAGTTACACCATAAACCAAAATGATCAAAGTGGAGAAAAGAAGACTAGATTTGTATTTTTTTCAGAATCTATTTAAATCTATAGATGTTTACTGCATTTTAGTCAAAATGTGGTAGTCTGACCTGTCATATGTACTTTAACCTCATTTGCAAGTCTACGATTAGCTTTGTATAAATGTTGCCTGTGTCTTCTTTGTGTTGTGCGTATTCAGATTCAGTGCCTCAAATCCTACATTTGTATAAACTCATGTGAATCATATTAAAACAATTCAGAATTTTAAGTAGAGACAGTGATTTTAAAGAATAGTCAAGGGAAAGGAGGGAGAGGGGAGGGAGGGTGAATATATGGTACAGAGGAGGGACAGAGAATATATGGTTCAAAGGGGGGATAGAGAATATGAATGCATTTTAAACATGCTTACATCTGTGAGGTTGGATATAAGTAGATTTTCATTGAATAATATCATACTGTATGATTTAGATGCCTGATCCCTATTCAAAACCATATAATCACATTTTTTGTCACCTGATTAAAGTTTATAAATGTATCTCTTTGGAAATAGTAAAAATGCATAACAGAGTTGCTGTGTATCTTTATTTGTGTTCATTCTGCAGGTTTGTCAGCACCCAAATGCCCGCATGAGGGAGTGGGGGGCAGAGGCGCTGACTTCACTCATTAAAGCTGGACTGGCCTACAAGCATGATCCTCCACTCTCACAAAACCAGGTCAATAAATTATACTTACACTACATTCTACTACAATATGATAAGCAGTAGGGATGGGATGAGTTCTTGCAAGATCAAATTGCCACTGGACTGTGTGCACAAAGGAAAAACGATCTTGCGAGATTGTATCCTCCATCTTTACATTTGGCACGGGCATGAAAGGGTTACGCGCCTCGCTCAAGCTCTGGAAAGTTACGTATCTTTGAGCAGATTCCTCCACACACAGAGACACAATGAGACAATGAACACTTCAAACTTTGTTTTGTAATGATAGGAGAAATATTAACACAAACAATCAGTGCTAAGATTTGTACAAAAAGTTTTAATACAACATACGTGCGTCTAATTCACCCATTTTCTCATTTAAACATTTTTTGAAAAAGATCCACAAAGAGGCATGTAGGCGTGGAGAGACACAGGGGACAGAGGATCACGTCCAAGTTTAGTCTAATCGTTTGAATGATAAAAATTTTGTGTAACAGACATATTGTATATTGAGTATATTGTAAAAATAACTAGTGATACTTCTGGGGATTTACACTTGTGTTTAAACAGGCCTTATGTCCTTATGTAGGATGAAAATGACTTAATTTGGTCGTTTTTATAACTAGATTGGATTATTGCAAATTATTTCAAAATCTTGTCTCATTCTCGTGGACTCTATATACCGGTGTGTGTGTGTATGACTGAGAAAACCAGAGCAATGGAGCAACGACATCACTGAAAATGGGCTCAAAGTGTGACTTTTTTAATCATCTGACAAAACGAGAGAGGAGCCACAGCGCGCACGGAAAAGAGTTTGATATGGGCCATGGAACTTTTCTGGTCATTCTGATCTGAGGAGCAAGAGGAAAGACATGACTGCCCCCTCCTCTCCTGTTCTGCCCCATAACCCAGGTCGCTCCGCGGGTAGACAGGAGGCAGCTGTAGAGTACAGAGCCTGGTTAATGCGCGCCGAGGAATGAAGTTGCTTGACCCCTTCCCATTGCGTGGCAGAGCTTAAGTTCCGCTGTACATAAAAGTAAAGCTGTAACGGAACTCTTCATATGTAGCCTACAATGATAAAATCCAGGCTGACGTGTTTGCAGTAGAGCCCTGCACTCCTGTGGGCCCCAACACAAAACAGTGCGGCACGGGACACATTTTGAAAGTTCATTGCGGGCTTGGGCGTTTGCGGGACTGCACAATGCGGGAGTGGTTGGATGAGATGAAAATATACAAATGATTCATGTTTGCCTATCATACATCATTTGTGCTGGATATTTTAGCTGGATATTTTATTTGGCATTAATAAAAACATTTTAAGTATTTTAAATTTGCGGACATGGTCTAATCTCACATTTTAGACAATTCCTTTCCACTTCTCTGTGTTTGATAGAGCTTAAGAAAGTGAACGTCCCCATCCTGCGGGATTTGCGGGCAGGAGCTGGACAAAATTTCGCAGATGCAGGCGGGATTGGGAATGAAAATTACAATTCTTTGCGGAAGCGGGCAGGAGCGGGACTGGACAGTGCAGGTGTCAGCGGCAGCTGGATTGAAATTTTTGTCCTGCACAAACCTCTAGTTTGCAATTTGACAGGTAGCAGCAAGAAACGAGGGGATGAAGAGAAAGAGACGTGATGAAGGAGCGCACAGCCAGAACCCACTGAAAACCGGTTCATCCTCATCCTTCAAAAATTAAGAAATATTTTTTAAAAAGTCTAATCAACCAAAGATTTTGCAACCTCCCTGCAGTACCTCTGCGACTCCCTGTTGAAGACCTCTGCCTTATACGTTCTATTTACATTGTTCAAATGTTGCTGTTTGCTGGTTGGCTGCAAAATAGTCCATTTCTATGACTCATGAAAGATAAAATGTAATATGGTAGACTGTCTCATGCCCCTGGATCACGTTAAGGATTTCATTACCTAATGTGTGACATTTGAAAAGTCCTTTGTCACTTTGGCAAGGCTTGTTGTCATAGATAAGAAATGTCTGCTTCCTGTTTGAAATGCAACAGAAATGCCACATTTGCTTTGAAAAGCAGACATTGACCTTCACCTCAGAGAGATAAAGCCATGATGTAATCTTCATTTGAAACCGAAGACAGTTTAGAGGCACTCGACCTGATTTTTATTGTCTTAAAAATATGAAAAATAGAGAGTTCATTTCTAATAGCTGTCAAGTCATTCCTCACTTTCTAATTGCATCCTGAGCATATTAATTATTCACCATGATGAGTTTATAAGTGGGTTTCATCACTTTCAGCGAACAAAGCAGAGTTTGCACAAGTCTGTTACAGGAAAAAAAAAGGTACAGCACCTTTAATTGTTGAAGAGTGTAAAACAAACGTTCTGAATGTAACTATGGTTTTATGAGTCCCTAGATAAGTGATTCCCTTTGTGTATGCGCTGGGAAGAAAAGGAAAATCTCCTGATTTTGATCCATGTCTTTCCTTATGTTCTTCTGCAGCGGTTGCAGCTCCTGCTCCTGAACCCTCTGAAGGAGCTGTCGAACGTGCTTCATGCAGACATCAGACAGAAGCAGCTGGAGAGTGTGCTGCAGATCCTTCAGAGCCAGGGTGACGGGCTGGGGCCCGGCTGGCCCCTGGTGCTGGGCGTCATTGGGGCCATACGCAATGACCAGGGGTGAGGACAGTGACCACAGTAACTGCATATGCTGTGCATTATAATTATTTCTTGTTTTCATCTTTCACTTTAATTTATAGAATTATTACCTGTCAGAACCACCACTGTGTTTGAATCTGCGTTGTTTGTTTCTCTTCAGGGAGTCCTTGATCAGAACAGCCTTCCAGTGCCTGCAGTTGGTGGTGACAGACTTTTTACCTACAATGCCTTGCACCTGTCTCCAGATTGTAGTAGAGGTTGCCGGGAGCTTTGGTCTGCAGAACCAAGAGCTCAACATCAGCCTCACCTCCATCGGCCTTCTGGTGAGACGACATCGATGTTGTTTTATTTATTCTCCAATATTAAGCATCATCATCATTTTCACTGAAGCCTTTGCTCACTTCTGTTTAGTCCTGTTTTTAGCTTAGCTTTAGTTGTTCAGTTTTGTCACCATTCTGGTTTAGACCTAATTGTGTTTTGTTACAGATTTGGTTTGGTTTAGTTTTAGCCTGGTCCTGGGTAGCAGCAAAAGAATTGATATCCAGATACTAAAACTACCACTAGACTCATTTGAACAAGGATTAAGAGTCTTGTATTAGATTATATTTCGTACTTCTCTGAGCTCTTATTTATCCTATCTGATACTAAGCAATACTGTGGCACATTTATTGCACTAAAATGCATTAAATCTCTTCTTCTATAGAATTTTACCTTGATTTAGAAAGAAAACTATCATCATTTTTGCTGTGCCTCAACCTGATTCCATCTAAAAATATATGCGCAGATAAACTGAAATGCAATTATACATTTGAAAGAGAAAGTTTGTTAAATCTTAAATCAGGCAGTATTAATCAATATTTATGCATGAAAAGCAGTTCTTTTTGATGCCTCAGTAATAGATGTATTAATATTTCATTTTGATCTGTATTGCACAACCGCACAATTCTTCAAAAATCAAAATTCTAGTTTTCATCTAAATCATTCAGCCCTGATCTTTAACACTTGATTTAATTGGACTCACTAGCTCTTATCCAATATGTGCCACAATAGTTTTTATATATTCCTGTGAAGATGTGGATAAAGATCAAATAAACATTATGATTTTATTTAAGCCTTCACAATCTTCAAACCTCTTCACCTCTGTTTTGAAATGACTGTGTGGGCGAGGAGTCAAGAGCTGCAGGTAAAATATTTATGTGAATGAACAGTCGAGACGCAGACTTATTCTGAGGTCAAACTGGTCTTTTCTCACAAAAACAAAATGCAAAAATAAGCGATAAAACCTATTTATTCAACAATACAAACATGCTGTGCATACTACTGCTTATCTAGAGTTTCTGAACAGTCAATGCTGTAGCTAATACTTTATTTCAAATGTTTATTGACCAGCACAAACATAGTTTTAAGCTTTTTATTGAAATTATGTCTTATTTGCTTCTCTTGACAATATATAAACCGTATAGTTGATTTATGCACTAGACTAAAATCATGTAAACTACAGAGTCTATTTCAAACTGCACAGTAGGGATTTTATTTTATCAATTTGTAGTGAGCTAGTTTATTTTTTCTTACTATTATATTTCCCTTTTGTTACTATTCTATAGTGACCTGAATGATCATAATTATGGATGAACCCAGTAATGTTACTGTGAGGTACTTAAGTATGTGAGGAACATGGATCTCCACTCTGATTGGTCACATTTGATCCCACAGTTTATGGCTCAGACATTTTATCCTGCTCTAGACTCTAGAGTTGAGTTCCAGCCAAACCCAAATATTGATCGGTGGTTTCCTCCAGGAGTGCCCAGTTCCTGTGAGATTTCCTTATAGAAATACAATACTAAAAACTGCCAGAAGCATTTAACCAAATCACTTTTACAATTCATCTTTATTTTGGTGTGGGAAGCTACACAACTTTCAAATTAACACCATTTGACAACCACTAGTTACACCCATATTTTTTCTCAAGAATCATTTCATTAACATCAAGATTTTAAAACCCATGACCAGGCCCGCAGATGTCTTCAGAATTGTAAAATATATTTAATTGACCATACAGTCACCTCTTTTGTTTAAAGCTACCACCTGCAAGACAGCAGTAACATAGATGGCATCTAGTAGTGAAAAGTGAGAATACTACAGGGATGGGTTGGCTGTTCTAATTACAGATCGTGGCTTTAATTATTATTCTTGTTTTTTGTTTTTTTGCCATAAGAACTAGAGAAAATCCATAGAAAAATGTTTAATTTTTTTTTTCCGATACAACATTAGGAAAAATTGCCTAATATCACAATTCCTGATACTGGCACAGATGTTGTCCATCTATTGTAACATCTAATAATTCGTAGCTTGATTTTTTTATTCTGATCTTCTCTTTGTCCTCTAGTGGAATATTTCAGACTACTTCTTCCAGAGAGGAGAGGTGATCACGCAGGAGCTGGAGAGAGAGGAGGAGGCCTTACAGAAGCAGGCCCAAGAGAGAGGGGAAACCCTGAACAGGCCCTTCCACCCAGCCCCTCCCTTCGACTGCCTCTGGCTCTGTCTTTACGCCAAACTGGGCGAGCTCTGCGTGGACCCCCGACCCGCTGTCCGCAAGAGCGCTGGACAAACCCTGTTCTCCACCATCGCGGCGCACGGGACCCTCCTCCAGCAGCCCACCTGGCACATCGTGGTCTGGAAGGTAACAGGCTGAGATTTAGGAATAGAAAATATATTTAACTATTTAACTTTTAATTATATTTGCTGAAGACATACAATAACCCTGTTAATGTAAATAATGTTTAAAAGACCAAAAAGCTGTCAGATGCATTTTAGTAGAAATGGTAGTTTTATTTGTAGGGGCTCATCATTAATTTAAATGCTTAGGTTCAACATGAGGACCTTTTGGATGTTTCTTATTTCATTGCCATGAAATCAGATGACTCTTCCCCAGTCTGCAAGTTCAGTAGATAATCACATTCCACAATCTGACAACTGTATTTTTCAAGTTCCAATTTAGTTAGTGCACTTGTTGTTTAAGAGCTTTAAAATGTTAAAGGGGAAATACAATTTGTCAACTGGACAAAAGTTTATTTTGGTTGAGTATGTTTCACAGCTTATCCAAGCTGCTTCTTCAGTTCTGGTCAGACGCAGGAGCCTTATATCTGCCAGCAGGGAAGAGCTAACTACACTGAAACTACTCTGAAAATAGCCTCCTCCCTGCAGACAGATATAAGGCAGTGTTCTCCTGCGTCTGACCAGAACTGAAGAAGCAGCAGCTTGGAAGCTACCTGGAAGACTGACGGATTTACACACATCTTGTCAAGTTAAAATGCATATTATTGCTTTAAGCTTGCTAAATGTAAGTGACATCACTGTGACTTAATGTCCATGTACAGCAAAGACAACAAGCGAGGATTACTGCTGTTATAAGGCAAAATAAGATTCATGATCAATGGTTGCATGCTCATGTTAAATTAAAACCACATCCTTTTAATAGTAACAAAATGTGTGTGTGTTTAACCCTCCTCTAGATTTCACACTTCCAGTTTCTTTCTCAGTTTTTCTTGATGTTTTTTTTTTTTTATCTCTTTAAGATCCTATAGTACACAAAATGGAATCTTGTGAGCTTTAAGACATGTTAGAATGTTTTTACCTCATCAAACACATTCCTAAAGTTGTGTTTTATTTCATTCACACATATTTGAGTAATCTTTTAGTAGTCTGTCTGTTTTTTGTTTGCTCTAAATATGCAGGGTTTGTGTGTTATGTGTGGATGGGACAAAACAAAACTCTGGGTATGTTTCAGATGAGAAAACAACATTATAACATACAGTAGATAAGAAACTAGTGTAACATGGACCCTTTAAAGTATATATATATATATATATATATATATATATATATATATATATATATATATATATATATACATATATACTGCATCATTTCATCTTAATCCAGAGCTCCATTGTGTTATTTGACGTACAGTACAGTAACATGTGTCTCTTCTTAGGTCCTGTTCCACCTGCTGGATTGTGTGCGCACGTCGTCGACCACAGCGGACAAAGAGAAGATCGAGTCTGGAGGAGGGAACATCCTGATCCACCACTCCAGGGACACGGCAGAGAAACAGTGGGCAGAGACCTGGGTCCTGACTCTGGCTGGAGTCGCTCGCATCTTTAACACTAGGAGATATCTTCTACAGCAGCTGGGTAAGTTTGTTTAGTGGGGCTCAGAAGTCCAAACTAACAGTCACACATGCACGGTAATGACATTTTCAACAATACTGATCATTTCTATTTTTTCACATCACTCAACAGTAACCATATTATGAGAAACCATCTTCATTTTGAGAATATGGGCCTAAAAAGGTCTCAAAAATGTCAAATCAGTTTTGTATTTTTTTTTTTTTTTTTTTTTAACTCAGAAGTTGTTTAGTTTTTTTTTTTTTAATTCATATGCAAAAAAAAAAAAAAAACTACAGGATTTAATGATTAGTAAGTTCCATTAGGTACAGTAAGTAAATGTCTAGAAGTGGCATGTCACCTGTGTGATAATAAAAAGTTCAAAAGCTCAAAGCCACTGTGGAGGTAGATAAGTTTTAATGCTATACTGTGGAATATTTTAGCCAAATCAACAACATTACCATGGAAACAAGCAGGAGCAGGCCTTCTTCTATGGCAGGTAAGAGTCAGGTTAGTGGAGATCCAAGCCTGCTCAGACTAAGTGTTTTCAATTTCAGTTAAAGGGCCCAACTCATGCAAAATCAACTTTTCAGAGCTTTTTACCTTCTAAGAGTGATGTGTGGGCCTTTTATGTCGCTGAAGTGTTTTTTAGATTGATTCGGCAGTTTTTTAACAAATTGCAGTGTATTTCTGCCACCCTCCCACGTGACAACGAACCTAAAGCCTAGCAAAAGTTTATCTCCTAGCGTTTATTAATACTTTACCAATCAGTAATGTTCAGCTGAAGTCGACGCGGTGCTTGAGCTTCGTGCTCCTCAAAGTCCTCGTCCGATTCTGTGTCCAACACATGCGGCTGAACACGTTGTATCTCCATGATGAATAAAAGTTTATTCCTGCCACTATCAGGGTGCACACCTGTCTCCCCCTCCCTCCCTGAGATGGGCGTCACGTTTGGAGGGCGGAGCCTGTGCTTTCTCAGGACGGGCGGGGGAGGAGCAATAGTCGGTCTTTCATAGTTCCTGGTCTGTGACTGTCTCCAAGAAATCAGTGAGATTTCAGAACTATTGTGTAATGGATGTTCCAAAACCCACATTGTGCTTGTTTATGTGCAGAAGATACAATGTGAAAAGAGTTCTTTTACATGAGCTGGGCCCTTTAAATGCAACCAAAATGATTTTTATTTCTGTTGATGTTTTGGCTAAAGGTTACATACAGGGGCTTTAAATAAAGTAAAATAGTAAACCCATTTTTGCTCTTGTTTTTGCTCAGGTGATTTCTTCGAGGCCTGGGAGGTGCTGCTGAACCACATCCAGTCAGCTGCTCTCAGTAAAAACAATGAAGTTTCTTTAGCTGCATTGAAGAGCTTCCAGGAAATCCTCCAAATCGTGACACCCGTGAAGGACTCAGACAGAGCCGGGGACGCACTCGCTGCTATGGGGGTCCCGCCTGTCCTCATAGACCCCCTCTCTGCCTCCGGACCAGGAAGACCACTGGTGAGGTCGGATTCTCTGGTGGAACGTCTCACTCGGTACAATGGAGCTGAGATGCAGGCCCCTCCTCCCGGTGAAGAATCAGCCTTAGAAGACTCTGCACTGTGGTGGTCCGCTTGGAATACATGGTACAAAACTGGGACAGAGAGTACGAGGCCCCCTACTGGTCCGACTGAGAAACTATCTTTTATCCCGAGCCAGCCTTACCTGACGGCGTTGATCCAGATTTTCCCGGCTCTTTACCAGCATATCAAAGCGAACTTCAGCATGGAGGATCTGAAGAAGTTGGGGGTGATTTTGCACGGGGCGGTGTCTGTGCCCATAAGCAGTGATGCGTCACCCTTCATCCTGCCCTCCTACACTGAAGCAGTGCTCACCAGTCTACAGGAGGCTGTGCTCACCGCGCTGGACGTCCTGCAGAAGGTAAACAAGATGACCTCTTCTGTAACCCTAGGCATTAATACTGGAGTCATAGAGTCAATGAATTGCAAAAATGATCAGATAAGGGAAAAAAAAACAGAATAACAAAAAATCCAGTTGATGATTATTATCACTATTTAGGGATGTGACAATAACCAAAATATCGTGATATCGTATCGTCAAAGTTCTCACAATAATATCATGGACCATCACAATATATGGAATTACAAGACTCTTTCTTAAATGAAGAGTTATGATGCAGAAATAGCTAAAAAAAAAAATGACAGAGGGAACTACATAGACCATGATCCTTTGCTTCATTTCACTGTAGACTACATCAAGAAATAACTGTTCGAGGCAATTTTAAATCTTAGTTCTTTGGATTAAATTAAGGCATTTTAAGATGAAAAAGAAGCATGTTAACAGTTTTGTTTGCCTCCACAAAATATCGCAATACGTATCGTACCATGAGATATTTATCGTGAAAATATCGTATCGAGAGATTTAGATATTGTTACATCCCTAATCGTGAGCCTTCCCACCATATCATGAGCTTTCCCACGGTATCACAATAAATATCGTGCCGCGAGGTTACATACCGTGACAATATCGTATTGTGAGACTTGGATATCGTTAAACTCCTATTACTATTATATATTTGCAGTATAAACGAAATGTCTCCCTCTCAGTCCCTTGTTTTGGCATGCTAGTTTCAGAGTACTGTATTTTCCGCACTATAGAGTGCTCTGGATTATAAGGCCTGCTGTCATTGAATGGTCTATTTTCAAACTTTTTTCACATAAACCGCACTGGACTATAAGGCACATTAAACGAAACACAACAGTAGTGATGGGTCAGTGGACTTTGTTTGTGGCGTTCACGGTGACTCTGGGCTTTGTTCAGTTGTGGCGTGTAGGGAGGGTGCTGTCTGGGACCAACGGATTGTTGTTCAGTTGTGTCTAGAAGTGGCACATTGCACTCGCTTTTTTGGTTCGTTCCTCCGTTCCGTTCCTCTTTGGCGTGGAGTGATGAGTGTGGCTGTTTTTCGCTGTCTGCTCCGTGCGTGTTTGCACGCGCTGCGGGTGGTGCGGCTTTGTAGTTTACTCAGGGCAGGCGCGGGCGTCTTAAAATGTTCGTATAGTAGTTGGTTGGTCATTATTAGAATTGGATCTGGAGTTTTTCGCCCTCATAATGGGTGCAATGTTGGTCTTAATTTTCATTTAAATGGTCTAAAAAAGCTCTTAAAAAAGTCTTAAATTTGGGGTAGTCAAATCTGAGGATACCCTGTTACTGGGACACCCCAGTGGATTCGTGCTCTGGATTGTGGGGCGTGCAGTCATTTTTTAATGGGGTTAGAGGCTTAAGAGCGCGCCCTATAGTGCGGTAAATATGGTAGTTTCAACTCCCACAAAAAAAAAAAAAGATGTAGAATCTTCACCAAAAGTTTCTAAGCATTGATCTAAACCAAATTACACTCCCAGATTTGTCCCAGAAGGCAGTGTTCCTTTGTGTCGTACATTATGCTCTCAGTCAAGTTTTGCAATAATGTTACTTCAATGTTTAATGTTATTCATAAGTATTAGGTGTAGTACTAAAGTTGTCCCATCCTTTACAAATACCGTCGCCCAAACTGTCCAAAGTGAGTGTCTTTATTTGTCTCAGAACAGCACGTCTCTTGGTGAATGATCCAAAGTGCCAGTATTCCCGCTGAGTTCCTGATCCGTGTTTGTTCCATGTTCCCTCCCCGCTGTAGGCCATCTGTGTGGGCCCCGACAGCCTGCAGGTCATGTACCCGGCCATCTTTGAACAGCTGCTGCGCTTCGTGGAGTTCTCCTGCAAACCTCCCACGTACGGCCGAGTGGAGACCAAGCACGTGGCCAACGCTAAGTACAACCAGGTGAGACCGGGGCTACAACTACGCGCTTATGCTATTTCATTTCATTTTTTGCAAGATTGTGTATGTGTTTTGTTATAAGGGTCACACAATATTCTGTTAGCCCACCTGTTCCTAAACATTGCTCACGTTTTTTACCGTTAATTATAATATTGAACAACTGATGTCTTTGTTCTAGCACCATACTGATACTAAAATCTTTCTTCTACTATGTCTAGTATGCAAAACAATGCAATAGGCGTGGGCAAAATTAACAAAATGGACTGTCTGGATTTGATGATGGGAGGATTCTACCAATATTGCTGAACCATAGAAGACAAAAATATCACTTTTTTCAACAACTATTTTTACATTTACTTGTAGATGATATATCGCCCACCTCCATCTGGTCCTTCTTCCCCATATCATTCAGTCTTTGTCGTCTATTTGTGTACTTCTTTTATACACCTTCTTTATTTAATGCTATGTGGCCTTTTAAATCTTCAATTATTGTGGAGCCCTAATTGTTATCCACATTGTTGCATTATTAAAGACGCACTGTGTAACTTTTCTGGTTTACGGTCCGCCACATTCTTGTCTCCTTAGAATTGTTTCTTTGCCTGGAATGTTCCACAGTATTGCATAAAGAGTACCGTGTATTCCGGACTATAAACCGCTACTTTTCTCCCACACTTTGAAACCTGCGGCTAATAAAACAATGCAGCTAATATATGGATGGATTTTTTTGTTTGGCACATTGTCTATTCATATTATTATATATACCAAACATACGGCCCGGGGTCTGGATGCGGCCCTCCAAGACCTTTAATCTGGCCTTCGTCTGATTTTCTACTAAAATATTGTAATTATATTTTAAAATATTGGTAATTTTCTGTGCCGCTGAGCATAGCAGCGTCTCCAGCGTCTTTGTACGTGGCCCCTCCCACCAGAGCAGCACAAATGAAGACTTGCCTTTTTCCAAACACTCTTAAAGGACGATCGTTTTGACTGTTGACCGTGACACCCTCATCAGAAAAATGTCAGAAATGAGAAAAGTGGAGCCGAGTGCAGGATTTTTTTGTTTTAAATGGACTTATTCCTATTCCTACAAGTTAATCTTAAAACATTGTGTTGAAATTGCATTTTTCTTAAAGTTTCAGGTTGTTCATAATATTATAATATTTTGTAAAAGAAAGAGTTCATCAATTAAAAAAAAGATTTCTGTAATAGATTTATTATTTATTTATTATTACTATTTTTGGGGTTTATATGACATGAGTTTTCTGATCCGGCCCCTTTGGGATCAAAGTAGGTTGGATACGGCCCCCGGACCAAAATGAGTTTGACACCCCTGATATTTACAGTGTATGGTTTGGTAACACAGTGGATACGTGCAGCCTGAGTGCAGAAAACGTCGCTATCTGTGCGGTTACACATGGATCTAGAGTTCACATGAAGTTGCCACACTAGCTAGAGATATTGTCAGCGCACTCAAGTAGTTTATTGCTGTGTGATAAAATAAGTTATGATGCTAAATGAACATTAGTGAGGGGGATACATCTTACCCGTTTGTGTAAATGACTAGAAGAAATGTCTCAAACTTCGGTAGACAAACATCCACTCAGACCTGTTTGATAGAACTATCCCCACCCCTGAGAGAGTCTGAAATCTGCTGAAATCCTCCAAGACACTGACATGATACAGACAGAACAGAGACTCTTTCTGCAGGAGACATGCGCAGTAGAGCAGGGAGAGACGGGGTTGATGATGCGCAGAGGAAGATGCTCTTTGATTGTGTTTTGAAGTTATTTTGCGCTTCATACACACACCCTCCTCATGGAAAACACACGGCGAAATACAGATCATGCAGCTTTTAAGTTAAAGACAAAGGCTGTCAAAGAAGGAAATAGAGCTGCTTCACGTGAGCTCGGCATCAATGAGTCGATGGTGACAAACAACAGCGACAAACTGACTCACATCAACAAGACGACAAAAACTTTCAGAGGCGATAAAAGCAGACGACCTGAACTTGAAAACGTTCTTGAAGACGTGGACACCTGCGGCTTATATTCAGATGCAGTCTGTATATGTACAGTTTTAAAATTTTGTTAAAATTTTGTTGATGCGGCTCATGAAACGAAAAATACAGTATTTATCTTTATGGAAAGAAGCAGGTGAACTGGCAACCTAATTTCAAATGGCAATAAAGCTGAATAATGGCTACATAGATAAAATACCAAATAACAGGCAAAAGAATATAATCTCCAATGATTTGAGCAGTGACACACCTCACCAGAAAAGCTCCATAGTGCGTCTTTAACTGTTTGAATAAGACCACCGTGTAGCGTGTTTGTTTTGGGTTGATGTTGGGGCGGCCACCTCTGTGTGAACCCCACAGCTCACGACACACTGCAGCCTCGTCTCAGAGTGACAGGAGTCGCCCCAAGCCATCCCCCTCTCGCTCCATAACTCCTCTGCTCAGCTCATTTGGCATAACTCCAACAAATTCTTTGACAATTCTTCGTTCAAGCATAGTTCATATTCGTTTTTTGATTTTTGTTTTCATTTCCAAAGACCTCTGATCTTCTGAGAGAGTGTTACAAAACCATTATTTTTTAATCCCAAGTTTATCTTAGAAATGCTCAGAAATTAGTTTTTTTCACAGAGAAAGTAGTGATTAATCTTTTTTGTTAGTTTGTATTCATATTTAGAGTTTCTCAAATGCACACTGGCTCCCCATCCTCAAAGTAAGAAAGGTGCAGGTTAAATTTCCAGTTGTGGGCTTCATGTTTCTGTTTTGTCTATGTTTCAAATAGAGTTGGGAGATATATGGGAAAATTGATGCTATCTGTAATTATTGGTATTAGGTGTTATTCATTTGAATGCCTTGCCATAATGTTTTGATCATTCATCCAAAATGTGCTAAAAGGTGCCTGTAATTGTTTTGATTGAGGTTCAAGTCACACAAATAAGTGAATGGACTGACAAATGTAATTCTGTGCTAAAGTGCAGAAGTATCATGCCACTTGCTTGTTTCCATGGAGATCTGCTGCCAATATGGCCTTAAACATATCTATCTAGCATTTAAGCATGTTTTTATTGCTCAAAAATACCTTTGCAAACATTCCTCCTGTAAGTGGGCTTGCTTCTCCATGGATATGACCTTGGCTGAGTGGCTGCTTATCCCATTGGCGATAGAGAAGTCAAATGCCATACTGATAAAGCTCAGGTACTGTGGAAAATTTCAGACAAAATAGTAACATCTCCATGAAGGCAAGCAAATGCCATGCCCTCCACAAGAAAGTACTACGGTGCTCTTTTAAACACTCGGCATCTTCAAAATCAATACAATTTAGACAATATTGTAATTGCAATCTTCTCTTATTCTCTTCCTTTGGGACTCCTCACTGGATAACCTTTATAGATCCAGCTCTTTGCACCGGTGAGTCCCTCTCCTCTGGCCCCTCGTATTCTTTAGTAACAATCTGCTGAACTCTGCAAAAACCTGCCTCCCACGGTTTGGCTTTTGAGTAGGGTTGTCAAAGAAAATCCATACCCAGATACTAAATGCTTTTTTACACAAGTATCAATACTGAAGGAAAATAAATAAATAAATCACATAAATTGGACAAAATTTCCTGAATACTTTTAGAATGGTATCCATGGGTTTCACAATGTTCAAAAGGTTAGGACTGTCCTCATAGCAAATAACAAATCAAAATAAAATATAGTTTTTGAATGGCATTATATTACAGGAAGTTGAGTCTCATGAATGAACCAGGCAACTGGCAACTCTATGAAATGTTTCCATTGTTTATGTGGTGGTAAAGCACTCAGATGCACTGTGTGTGGTGATACGTCACATTTGAACTTGTATGTGAAGAGGGAGACCTCTGAGTCTCTGACCATCTCCCAGTTAATGAGTGGAAATCATGAGTGGGAATCACGAGTGGCATTTTTTTCAAGCGGGAGTTGGAAATATTGCAGTTACCAGTTGCCAGGACCACAGGGAACAACTAGAGAAAATTATTTGTGCGGAAAATGATTTTCTGTTCAAAGTGTCTTTATTGAACATTTAGTTAGCTGTACAATTTCAAACACATTACAAGAAAAATACTTTCTATTGTATAGCTGAGCAAGTTTCTTCACTGTGGTATCTACATCATTATCTTTTTTGTCCTTGGTATCAAAATTAACTTTTAAATTTTAGTATTGTGACAACACTACTCCGAGTTTCATCTTTCATTGTACCCCTTTTCTCTCTGCCTGCCACTAACTGGTGGTTTAAGCCTCTGTGTACTCAGTCCTTGTGCGTTTGTTGATTTTTGGTTATAATCACAATGTGTGCACTTGTGATTTTTTTTTTTCTTTCTTTTATATACAGAGCTTAAAGACACACTAGACAAAACAAATCCATGTCTATCCAAAATATTAAAGGAGACATATTATGCAAACATCTACTTACTGTATGTAGCATAGTCCCACCCCTTTTTTCTATTGGTTGTCCTCTGTCATGAGTGACAGGTGGACTGAATCAATCACATTGAAGTATGAATTCTCAAAAGCAGCAGGCGACTTTAGTTCCCCAAAAGCTCTGTAAGCTCTTAAATGTACATGAAACATGATATCCGTGAAATTGTGATCTTGGCTTTACAAAAATGTATATGAACTTTTTGTGCTACCAGCCATCCTTAATCCATCTCATTATGGTCCATGGCCCGATTATTTTTAAGTAGGATTTATGGCCCTGTTAATAGGAACACTGTAAACCTATTTAAGTTGTTTAAATCTACTATTAACCAAATATAACATACTGTATTTCTGATCAACATGTACAATGCATTACCACTAAACACCAGAAAAAAAAGCATATCATATCTTCTTTAATAATATAAGGTAATTTGAATCTAACTAAGATTTTCTATGCAAGGTGTGTCTTTAAATGCTTTTTTGAACATGGTGTGAATAGAGTTGACAAATTTGCCCAATTGACTGAAATGTTTCTTTTTGCAGGCGGAATGGGTGGCCTTAAACTACGTGCCCTTCGCAGAGCGCTCCCTAGAGGTGGTGGTGGACCTCTACCACAAAACAGCATGTCACAAAGCAGTCATCAATGAAAAAGTTTTGCAGAATATTATCAAGGTATTTCACGGAATTAAAATGTGTTTGTTTGAATATATTTGGTTTGATTCTGTTAGTGGTGCTGGTTAGAGGTTGACATGATCTTCAACACACACTTCTCCAATACTGGCTGTGATTGACAGAAGGATTAGCCAATCAGGGACACGTTTGGTCCGTCTGTATCAAAATAAATGTGGCTGCTTGCGAGGAAAAAAGAAAAAAAATCACAGGGAAGTGAAAAACATCAACAGATTTTCTGCAGAATCAATGAGTGAAGCATTAAACTTAGAAAAATCAAAAAATCTAAGGTTTGGGCCAAAGATGTTCATTTTGTCTTCTTATATACTTTAACTTCTTGGGTTCTTTTTAAAAGACAGCACAGTAAAGTGTATTTACCTTCTTGACATGTTTTGGCTGTTGCTGCATCTTCAGAACTGTCACCAGTGTTGGTGGTGACGTGTCGTATATCAGCTGTTGTTACTTCCTGTAGGTGTGGTCAGCTGTTGTTACTTCCTGTAGGCGTGGTCAGCTGTTGTTACTTCCTGTAGGCGTGGTCAGCTGTTGTTACTTCCTGTAGGCGTGGTCAGCTGTTGTTACTTCCTGTAGGCGTGGTCAGCTGTTGTTACTTCCTGTAGGCGTGGTCAGCTGTTGTTACTTCCTGTAGGCGTGGTCAGCTGTTGTTACTTCCTGTAGGCGTGGTCAGCTGTTGTTACTTCCTGTAGGCGTGGTCAGCCTGATGGACATGGCAGATCTCTCAGACTGACCAAAACAACAAGTGGAAACACTAGATCAGGGAGGCCAATGAAATCAGGAAACGAGGCACGGACATCATTAACCATGATGACGGAGCGTTCCTCCTTTCACACACCTGGGACACCCTCCTCCAGAGACACCGGGCGACGGGAGGCGTGGTCAGTCTGAACCATACATGTCAAACTCAGGCCCGGGGTCCAAATTTGGCCTGTGAGATCATACCAAATATGTATTAGAGCTGGCCCACCAGCTACACATAGGCTATAGAGACATTATTTATTTAAAAGTTTGTTATTTTATATTTTAATTGTTCTGAATTCACTGTTTAAGCAAAACGATTATTAATTTTAATAAGAAAAGGTTTTAACTCGAAAGAAGAGAAAACATGTCAACAAGGTAAATAGACTTTACTGTATTGTCTTTACGAGATATGTTTGATGTTGTGATGCTAGGTGACTAATGAGCTCCTTTGTTTCACATGCGTCACTGAAATAAACAAATCTGAATGCACACCAGGCTTTACCAGGCAAGGTTAGGTGTCTATTTTTCTTTCTCAAATTTGCTTTTCACAGTGAAAGAATTATACAATACAATTATTCTATGCAAAATAAAATTATATTTTTTTACAAAATTACCCTTATTTGCAATGTCCCCTTTTAGAGTTGACAAGTGAAATGTGCAGGGCTTGTGTTTAGTCAAACAAGAATGTTTTCGTTGACCACAGTCCTTAGCTTTATGATCTTAATGTTATTTGATTACCTTTTGGCGGTATGAGTACAGGATTTGTACACAGATTTGATAGATTAATAATAGACTTTTGGGATGTGCTTTTAGTGTCTAGAAAAGCATTGTAAACAATCTTTTATCATTATGGCTACTGGGATCGGCGCCAAACACATTCTCCAAGTGATTTGGGCTGAAAATGATGAATGAGTAAAATTACACACATGGGAGCTGGCTTCGTCTCGTCTCTACGCACCAAGGAGCAATTTAACCCTTCGGAAATCTATTTTTAATGATGTCATAGCAGCTGTTGTCATTAGCAATGCACAATGATAATTACTATAAATACATATGAAAGAAGCTGTACATTTCTGCTGCACTACTACAGTTTTGGATCAACTTAAAGGTGCTGTACAGGATTTTTACTGTTTTGAAACGTGAAAAGCAAAACTGGTGCATTTCAAACATTTGCAGTGGTCCAGAGTTATTCCTCACTTACCTCATGAATTCTAAGCATCATAAATATTCACCAAGGTGAGTTTATGAGTGCTTTTCGCAGCTTTCAGAGGCCAGAGTGGGGTTTTGCCATCACGGTAATGGTAACAACAACTAGCATGCTAACTGTGTATCTTTCTGATTCCACATAATATTGATCTAAAGAAAATATTGAGCAGTTGGGCTTCAAAATGCAACACATGACTCACGATACCAAAAACAAAACAACATTGCATTTGTGTGCACATGATATTCTGCACTTTATGACTATTTTTAAATAGACAAATATATTTTTACAATTGTCTTTTTTGTGAAAACACTGCATACAATTTGTTTATAGTGAAATGTAACAAGAAATATTCATAGCGTTATCAACAAAAACAGTATTTGTTGTGATATTTTGCAGCAGAAGCTTCAGTTTAGGTCTGGTACAATAAAAGCTCTGAACACTAATGCTTACTGCTTTTGTGCCCTTGAGCAAAACACTTCACCTACCTTGCGTTGTATGAAAATTGAATGGTCACATTTGCATAGAGCTTTTCCACCTTCAGATCACTCAGCGTCTTTTTACGCACACTGATACACGAGTGCACGCACACACTGAGGGCGAGGGGGGTTAAGTGTCTTGTTCAAGGGCACAATGACAGTATTCACTACCAACCTGTGGGTTAATGACCAGTGGTGTTGATGTTGAGCAAGATTCGAGTGTTGGTGGTGTTTGGTTCAGCCGATAGCACATGTCAACAGAAGCGCCTCCTTCGGTCTACCCCAGGGCAGCTGTGGCTACAGAATTAGTGTGTACGCATGAGTGTATGAATAATGCAATGCAAAGTAAAAAAGAAAAAAAAGAAAGAAGATGACATAATACATTTATTTAAAGTCAACGTGTCTTTCATGTTGATCTCTTGTAAATATTGTATGTCGCTGCCTCTCCCCTGTTTCCTTTTGCAAAAGTATGAAATCATTTTTGGCAAAGAAACAGTGTTAAATATTAAACTTGGGCAATTATAGTGTCGCAGATGTGAAGCAGTGCATTGCCAAACCTTTTATGAAAGTGTAATACAGTCTTGTAAAGTCTAGCGTTTAATCTCCAATACTGGCTCATTTTGACACCTGCGTTTAATTGCTGTTTTCCCAGGACAGCACAGAGAGAAAAGACCCAATTCAGAAACAATAACATTTGTTGTTTTTATTTTTTCGACTGGACAGATGTTCAGCAGATTTTTATAAAGAAATGAAAAGACTGAGTGAAGCAGCTGGTGTCCCACAGGTCAAAACAAAAACCCCACCAAATCTTCTTTGTTTCATATTTTAAATAAAAAGATGGAAAACTTGGTAATGTTTGAAAGAAGAAGGGAGAAAAACATTACTTTAAATATATTAAGGAAATGTAGCATGTAACTTGAGAGAATCAAATTCAAAAGCAAAAGACCACTCCAATCTAACCTAACCAACCTAACTTTGTACTAAAATGAGATGAAGGACAAAATGAAGATTTAAATATGATATGAAGTGACATAAGAGCTGCTCTCTGTAAAATACATATTTGAGTTGAACATGTTACCTTTATATCTGAAGACATAGATATGATATTATGCCTATGGAATATTCTAGTCACATCCTTCAATACTATCTTTAAAATACTATCTTTAAAGTACTATCTTTAAAGTACTATCTTTAAAATACTATCTTTAAAAGTACTATCTTTAAAGGGCCACTAAACCAAAACCAAAATCTTTTTTGTACTGATGAGCTGTGTAAATGGGTCTAAATTATAAATGTATACCTATCCCTGGCCTTATTTTGGCATTTTAGTGCATATTTGTTAACAGTCTGACTTTTTGGTCAAAGTCGTGTCTGTAACGGCCTCTTTAGGGTCAACTACAGCCAGGACATTTAAATTTTTGGGGTTGGACTCATGCCCGCCGAGGAGTCACATGCAGGTTATTATGTGACAAACACAGACTGAGGTACGTGAGGAGCCCCTCTCAGCCCACTGGTCACCGCGATGTCCTGGCATGTCCAGAGAAAAAAGAAACAGTTTGATCCAAGCACAAACGTCCGCTCTGTTTCAAAGTCCAGAGCGCACCAGGCCGTGCCATGGTGGATTGTTGTGACTGTCTGTCGGCTGTCAATCATTGCTCCAGAGCCCGCCCCACACGCTCTCCCCAACCCACCCGGCACCGCCCCACACCCGCTCCCCCAGCCTCCCGGCACCGCCCCACACCCGCTCCCCCCAGCCTCCCGGCACAGCCCCTCACCCGCTCCCCCAGCCTCCCGGCACAGCCCCTCACCCGCTCCCCCAGCCTCCCGGCACAGCCCCTCACCCGCTCCCCCAGCCCGCCGGGTACTGCCCACTCTGGAGCATGTGGTTTGGAGTTTACACTGTGGAAGAAACAAGTCTGGCCTGTAACTTAACCTGCTGCTGTCACCTGCTAGTCTCCAAGGAGATAGATGAGTTTGAAAGTCTTAAAATGTGAAAAACAGGACTAGTACATTTTAAAATGTTTGCAGTTGTCCAGTGTTATTTCTCACTTACCCCGTGCATTCAGGGCATCGTCAATATTCACCACGATGAGTTGAGAAGCACATTTCACAGACTAGAGCTGATTTTTCCACTCATGCACTTTGTGATTATCAAACAATAAACCACTGACAATAAAGCGTGGATGCTGACTTCTTTTGAGCTCAAGAGCTGCTTATATCTTTACTGGGGCAAGACACATTTCAATCAAGTATATGACATGGTCCCTTTAATGCTATACTGTGGAACATTGCTTTAATAGAATGCTTTCTTCTCATTCTTCCTCTGTCCCTCAGACACTCCGAATGCCTCTTGGCCTGAAGTACTCGTGTCCTTCGGAGAGTACGTGGAAGCTGGCGGTGTCCTCCCTGCTCAAAGCCCTCTCCATCGGGCTGCCTGTGGCCCGGCAGCACGCCTCCTCGGGGAAGTTCCACACCATGTGGCCGGAGCTGGCGAATGCCTTTGAAGACTTTCTCTTTACCAAAAGGTGCAGACATGATTCATGAGCAGTGTGGGAGGATAAAAGATGTAAAAGGCTTTATCGACTAAAAAGACTTGGTTTTGTCCTCACAGCACACCCCCAGATAACCTCTCCATTCAGGAATTTCAAAAGAATGAAGCCATTGATGTAGAGGTGAGATTACTTTTCCTCCAACAAAGCAAAACATTAGAACTGTCTATATTGTAATGTGTAATGTAACGTAATCAGTAAATAAGAACCCAGATTGCAACAGTTATGATGGTTTCAAAACTAGATTTGTCAACATAATTTTAATAATTGTTTATGTTAAAAAAAAAATCACATCCTTAGGAAATCAGAAATTGGATGTAAGATCACATTATAATTATAGGATTCAGGACACTGCTGTTTGTGTTCAAATTGTGTACTTTTGTTATTATCATTGTGGTATTTTTGGCATGTCATTAATATTTGACTTGTACAATGTTACAGTATGATTATATGTCAGTGACTTTGGTCCTTGATATCTGTTTATGTAGATATTGTTGTCAGATTCTATTCTGGACATACACGTGAATCACCCTCTGCTTTACTTTTTCCTGCTTGACTATTTCGTGATCATCTTGTTTCTTTTCTTTGCAGGTGGTTCAGCTGATCAGCACCGAGATTTTACCTTTTGCCAATTTCATCCCTAAAGACTTTGTTGGTCAGATCATGGCTATGCTCAACAGAGGATCCATCCACTCCCAGTCTCCTTCATTCACAGGTAAAAAAAAAAAAAAATCTGTAGTAATTCAAGTTATACGTGCACCTTTTAAACAAACTGTAGTTTAACTCTACAAGGGGCAAAAGTTTTATGTTTACAGCATTATAGGCTTTGAACATTTGTGTTTCTTGCGCATTCAAATATTATATATATTTTTATGGTGCATCTTTAGTAGATTCCAGAATTTGTGCATTAAAGAGAGGGTATATTACACTTTGGGTTGGTAGTTGCAAACACATAAGGCATTTAGTTACTGTATTTTTCGGATTATATGTTGCTCCGTAGTATAAGTTGCACCAGACAAAAAATGCATAATGAATGAATTTAAGTGGCACTTTTTGGGGGATATTTATTTTATAAAATCAGAGACCAGGAACCGTCATTTCCTGCTGAAAGTGAAGTTCTAGTAATAACAATAGAAGAGAGAACAACAGACTGTTAACGTCACATATGAACAGTTCTTCAAATAACTCTAGCATTAACAACAGAACAGAACAAGTTTACCAAACTCTCCATCTCACTCCAAATCACTAAATCCATTCAATTGTTCATCCTCGGTGTCACTTCTGAGCAACTCAACTTCCGGAGGTAAACAGAGCGCCGCTTCCTCTTCTGTGTAGCTGTCGTCAGACTCAGCATCAGATCCAGTTTTTATTCTGTGAGGAAGTTTCTCTCTCACTCTAAACTTTTTTTCTGCTGCTCGATTACCATTTTCAGCTGCAGATTTCACGACTTGCAGTTTGTAATCTGCAAAATATGATTTTTGGGGGGGCATTTGTTTTCAGTCTTCTCAGTCGTCTTTATAATTTTAATTTGGTAAAGAAGTAATGGTGCGATTGACTGACATGATACAGACGGGACAGAGGCTCTTTCTGCAGGAGACATGTGCAGTAGAGTGAAGTGACAGTGGTACAGGAGGAACAGGAGCAGCAGATACTCACACACAAGACTAGAACCTCTCGAGGGTTTTTAGTGTGAACATTTTAATATAGAAGTTGTACCAGTATAAATTACAGGAAACACCCAAACCATGAAAAGTGTGACTTATTGTCCAAAAAATACAGTACCTTTTGTTCGTTAGAAAATGCTACGTTTGTCAAAAACAACGTATTTAAAGTGAAACAAATGAAATGTTTAGTTTTTGGTAGTGTTTAAGCCCAACATGCCCATAGAACAGTGAGTCTGGGTTTGCCTCCATGTCTTAAAACACAAGGCAGGACTACCAAAAGACAGATATATCTTACCTCATTTCATCCTGTCTTCTTTGTAACTTTCAGAAGCAGAGATTGACGTGCGGATGCGTGAGGAGTTTTCAAAGGTGTGCTTTGAGACGCTGCTGCAGTTTTCCTTCAGTAACAAAGTGTCCACGCCTCAGGAGGGCTACATCTCGCGCATGGCTCTGTCTGTGCTGCTCAAAAGGTCCCAGGACGTCCTCCGGAGATACGTGGACGATGAGAGGCTGAGCGGACGCTGCCCTCTGCCCAGGTACAATACAATACAGTGTGACAGCTTTTCCTGTTTGTCTAATAATGATTTCATCTGATGCAGTAAGACCTTTTAAAGTATTTGTGGTAGTTTTATGTCAGTCACATGCCAGTTGGAGAAGATATGCCATATTTTACTGACTATAAGTGGCTCCAGAGTCACACCAGCCAAAAAATGCATAATGAAGAAGAAAAAAAACATAAATAAGTCGCACTTTTTGTTGGGAAATTTATTTTATAAAATCAGAGATCAGGAACCGACATTTCCTGTTGAAAGTCAAGTTCTAGTAATAAGAATAGAAGAGAGAACAACAGACTGTTAATGTCACATATTACACAGTTCTTCAGATAAACTATAACATAAACAACAGAACAGAACAAGTTTACCAAACTCTCCATCTCACTCCAAATCAATAAATCCATTCAATTCTTCATCCTCGTTGTCACTTCTGAACAACTTGACCTCCGGAGGTAAACAGAGCGCCGCTTCTTCTTCTGTGTCGCTGTCATCAGACTCAGCATCAGTTCCAGTTAGAATTATTCGGGTCTTTCTGAATCCCGACAGGATGGTTTCAGTGTCACTGAAGTCCAGGCTTTGTCCATCCATCCAGTGACTTCAGGAAAGTTTCATGTTACCGTATAGCTGTGTTCTCCATCCCTGCTTTCTGTTAGTCCCTCACAAGTTTCTCGCTCACTCTAAACTTTCTTTCTTCTGCTCAAATACCATTTTTGGGTGCATATTTCCCTACTTGCTGCAGGATACAAGCAGGAGACATGCGCAGTAGAGCCAAGTGACAGTGGAACAGAACACAAGACTAGAGCCTCTTGCAGCTGTTAGTGTGAAAATTTTAATATATAAGTCACACTGGAATATAAGTTGCAGGAAACACCCAAACCATGAAAAAAGTGCGACTTATAGTCCGAAAAATATGGTAATGAAAAAAGTTTAAATTACAGGAATGTGCTGTATCCTACAACTTATCTGTTGTCCATTTCCAACCAGGAAGTAAAATGACAAACTACACCAAAATGTCAAACCAAAATCTTCTTAAATAAAATAATGCTGACTGTGTTTTATTGAAGTGTGTAGGCAAGTGATCTTAGTTCATTTGTGCTGTCAGAGCCAATAGTGTCAGAGTTTGTGTCAGACATGCACCATAAATCCTTAAACCATACTTACACGTGTAATTCTTATAAAATAAACATAACTTTATTACCTTTTATAAGTGCTAGTAACTTTTTCTGGTGGGACCACTACCTTCTTGTCTCCATACAGAGGTTATTGCATTGTTTTAGTTATTCCATTGCGTTGAATATTGCACAGTATGGCATTAAACTACAATATCGCCAGATAGATAGCAGGTGACAAGCAGCTTATGCCACTGGACCAAGTTACTAATTAAATCTATATTTTTGTTAGCAATGAAAACAAACGTAATTTAACAAGTAAAACAGTTACTTATAAAGGCTCAATATTATGTAAAATAATGTTGTTCCCTCCTCAAAAACCGACCTGGAGTTGTGTTTTGTTTCATTCGCACATTTTTGAGTAACTCTTTATTATATTCTGGCTACATCTCCAAAGCTCAAAATGCTCTATTCCACCTTGTGATGTCATCAGGCTGTAGTTTTTAAATTAACCACTACCTTTTACTTTTAGTCCAGTAGAGATTGGCAATTCCAGGGCTGAAATTATCCAAATCATTCCAGTGAAGGTGCATGGATATGGAACATAATTTGTTTCATCGGATTTTGAATTTTAAATGCCGTTGAATTTCTCACTTTGAATTTTTTAACTCTGAAAAAACATGTTTGAATTATTTTTATTCTGAATTTTAGGTGCTGAAATTTTAAGTACATTTTTAAAGTGTTTAAAATTAAATATTCAATGAATTTAAAAAAATAACCTTTTAAATATTCAACACAAATACTTTCAATCCCTCAAATTCAACAGTCAAAATTCAAAGTGTAAAATTCGCAGTGAAAAAAAAAAAAAAATCCAAGATGCCAAGGCAGAAGCAATTGATCCAGAGTGATCCAGTCTAACTTAGTAACAAATGGTGCAGTGAAGCGATCTGATTGGTCAGAATTAGTCTCATCAAAACCTCAGACCCCCGCCCACACATGAGAACGGCCAATAGGAAACAGCCTCTGTCCTCCTCACTCACACAGGATCGATTGCTTTTGCCTTGCCATTTTGTTTTTTTCACTGCGAATTTTGCACTTAGAATTTTGACTGTTGAATTTGAGGACTTGAAAATAGTTGTGCTGAATATTTAAAAGGTGAATTTGTAACATATTGAAAAAGTACCGTCTTTTCCACACTATGAGGCGCTCTGGATTAGAAGGCTCACTGTGATTGAATGGTCTATTTATGAACTTTTTTCACAAATAAACGGCACCGGACTTTAAAGGAAACACAACAGTTGGATGGGTGAGTGGTTTTGTTTGTTTGTTGGCGTTCACAGTGACTCTGGGCTTTGTTCAGTTGTGGCGTGTAGGGAGGGTGCTGTCTGGGACCGCTGGATTGTCGACGTGTTCGCAGTGACTCAGTTGTTCAGTTGTGTCTAGAAGTGGCACATTGCACTCACTTTTCGGTTCGTTCCTCCGTTCCGTTCCTCGTCGGTGTGGAGTGATGAGTGTGTCTGTGGGTGTTTTTCGCTGTGCGGTCACTGTCTGCTCTGTGTGTGTTTGTGTGCGCTGTGGGTGGTGCGGCTTTGTAGTTTACTGAAGTCGTGCTGGGGTTGGAGGCTTTTGAGTGTGACCTAATACGGTACACATAAAATATCAGCAACTAAAATTCACCATAAAAATAATTCAAACATATTGTTCAGAGTTTCAGCAGTATTTAAAATTCTAAATCTAATTGAACAAATTATCTTCCATTTATGGAGTTTAAACTAGGGATGGGCATTCGATGAAATTTTCTTAATCGATCGTTGGAAGAATTAACAATCGATTATCGATTAATCATTAACTTTTTTATATTAAAATGATCATCATTATTATTACTATCTGCACTAATCTGCATAAATAAATTCAACTTTACAACATATAAACCGTAACGACTCTAGAGCCACATCAGCCCGTTTGACATTATAATGTGTTTAATTCAGTTTTGTTCAACTCTCACAGAAACAAAACTTAAAACCACATCACTAATTTGCATAAACTAAGCAAAGATAAAACTACAGCTCTTGTGTCGCTGATGTGGTTCAATTTCTGTTGGATTAAAAGACATGACTCAGGTGAATACAGGTTAGTGTGACCAGATTTGTGTTTGTCAAAACCAGGACAGCGTACGGGGGGAGGGAGGTGGGGACTCGTCATCCACATTGCGCGACTCTCACCTGGTAAAACTTTTTCCCACTGGACACAGAAACATATGTGCTGCTTTGTACACTGTGCACATGGACTCACACTTGTCCCGAACGCAACGGAAAGCGTGGAATTTCTTATACAAGTCATCGTTAAATACACATTTGTGCTTCAGTACGTTGCAGACTGACCCACTGTCTGTGACTGTTCTCTCCTTCTGATGCAGAGACACATGTACACACCTGTTTGGTCACACTACACACAGCAACATACATTCGGTTTGTCGATTAAAATGAACGTAATCGATGAAATTCTTAATGATCAAATATCGATTAATCGACTAATCATGCCCATCCCTAGTTTAAATGCAGTGGAGCACTTCCTGTATTACCACATGACATCACAAGGTGGACCAGAGTGTTTTCTGTTTGAGAGAAGAGCTCAGCGTAAATGTGCAGGTTTGTGTGATAAACATGTGAATGAAACAAAACACAACTCCAGGTCTGTTTGTGATGAAGAAACAACATTCTAACATAGACCAGGAAATGCCTTAATATGAGCCGTTTAATGCCATACCGTGGAGCATTTCAGAGGAAGCAATAACACGTCTGTGGAGACAAGCAGGTGGCGGTCCTCTAATTAGAAAAATGACGTAGTGCACCTTTAAGACCTGTAGTGGCTTGTACTGCCTCCCCGACCAACACCTCACAGCTACAATAACCATGATAAATGAATTAACATGCGCAATGCATTATTTATTTCCCTGCAATTATTCTCAATAGGACCATTAGCCGTTAGCACAGAAACCCTTATGGGAAAATCGTAATTACAAAACAATAGAGGGCCTTAATTACTGTCTATTACTCTTGTCACAAATGCAATACATTTCATTGATTATTATGATTACAGATGTTTAAGTGAATGTATTTTTTTCCAGGCAACAAGTCACAGAGATTATATTTGTCTTGAAAGCAATCAGCACTTTGATGGACTCCCTAAAGAAGACACAGCCTGAAAATGGTATGTCCTTTTTTTTTATATATGTGTGTCAAGGCTGGGGCTGAGTATCATTAAGAAGTTGCAGATACGATACATACCTCAATACACATGCCCAATACAATACATATCTCGATACAGTGCACTTTTAATTCAATATGATCGATTCAGTACAGTTCAATAAAAAAAATAAAGGCTAAATGATGGCTGTGATATTAAAAGTCTTTGTTAAACCACTTCTTGTACAAAGTTCATATGAAACACAAACAATTACATCATCAGAACATTAAAAATGTGAAATGTGTCACATAAATGAGTTTCCTTCCACTGAACAAACAACAAAACTGTACCAATGTGACAAAATAATTTTGTAAAACATTCCAAAAATACTCTTTGTGATATATCCATGCAGCAGCCCATGATATCAATACTGTATCATCACATTAAACGATATGATATATTGATACTTCAATATTTTTGCACACCTCTAGTCAAGGCACTGTACCTGATTTAAAAACACCAAAAACAGAACTAGTTCATTTAAATGAATCATTGCATTTATACAGCGCCGTTCAAGACACCCAGAGCACTTTACACTTCATTGTTTATTCACTCCACACTGAGTGGTGGCAAGATACTATTGTCACCACAGCTGCCCTGGGACAGAGTGACAGAAGCACTGACGGCCTCTCTGAAAACCACCATCACTCACACACACTCCATTTTCTTAAGAGGCAGTAGGGCTGGGTATCAGTAAGAAGTTGCTGATATGATACATACATAGGCCATGATACGATATCTCAATACAGTGACTTTTTGATTCAGTATATTTCAAAACAATTCGATATGGTTCAATTAAAAAAAAAAAAAAGGTTAAATCGTGGTTGGAAAATTTAATGAAAGTTTTGGAAAAGTCATGGGATTTTAGTATCTCATTCACGCAGCTACAGCTTTGTGTTAAGTTCTCATGGGGCTGTTATCATTATTTGTGAACGTCTGCGCCTTTTGCTTAAAAGAGACGACAATAAGTGCACTGACAGGATTTTGAATGTTCAAAAACTATAATCCCAAACCATAAGGTGAGTGGAAAGAGTTCACATTTCATATTTAGCCCGAAAAGTTTGATCAATTCTACACATGTACGTGCTGTAAAGTCATGGAAAATTCCCTTTAGGTCATGAAAAAGTCATGGAAAAGTTTAAAAATTTTGACAGTGGCTGTGATACTGAGAGTCTTTGTTAAAGTATTTCTTGTACAAAGTTCATATGAAACACAAACATTTTAATCATCAAAACAGTGAGTATGTCAAATGTGTTGCATAAATGAGTTTCCTTCCTCTAAACAAACAACAAAACTGTAGCTATAACAAAATAATTGAGTAAAATATACCAAAAAATACTCTTGGTGATATATCCATACAGCAGCCCACGATATCGATACTGTATCATCACATTAAACGATACGATATCAGTATTTCAGTATTTTTGCACACTTCTACAAGGCAATGTAAGTGAAGTGTCTTGCCTAATGACACAACCACAGTTTTTGCCACTGGCGCCCCACTGTGGCACCTGAGATCCCCAGAGGTCTCCCAGCCAAGTCCTGACCAGGCCCGACCCGACTGCGACAGGCCCGTGTGGTCACATTTGAAACGGTTCAGGTTGAGTCTCACTTCCCTTACACATTCAGAACATCTTAATTATTCACTGTGATAAGTTTATAAATACTTTTCACAACTCTGAGACCACTGCAGAGTTTTGCCGTCATTGTAATGCTGACGACAACTAGCATACTAACCATACACTTCCTCATTATCGGACAATAAAACGTTTTCTAGTTAGATCATCCTCAGCTGACTTATTCTGACTTCAAGTGCTGCTTATAAAATACAGCTGTGTTTGGGCAAGACACATTCTGCTCAAATACATGAAAGAAAAAAAAAAAAAAACACACTTGCCACCTCCATTCACTGGATGTTAATTAGGTCAGTGCCCGTTTGGGACCTATGTTACAAATGAGCTGTATGTCCTTTCAATCTTCACAGAGCTGTTTACATCCACCCAAGGTCAATTATTGCAATAAATTATTTTGAACGCAGAAAAGATTGAAATGAGAGCGTCTGGGATTGCAGGTTTTCAAGTGCCCTTCACAATGTTTGCACCGCGCCACACAAAACTCATTCCGAATTCGCCTGTGGGAATCCGGGCCGGGAAAATGATTTCTTTGATTGCCTTTTATCACAATACATCTGAGCAGCCCCCCTCCTGCCGTCCTGAGGGGAGGGGGAGAACGCTGAAAATGCACTTTTGTTAACATTTCACGAAAGGTCAATAAGGATACAGTAATAGGCTGTGTTCACGACTTTCTTGAATATGTAAAGCATTTCAGATGGAGCAGGGGCCTTTGTAAATCTACAGGAGAAAGAAACAACTGAACAATAACTGAACATCCACTCATTTCTCATCATTTTGTTACATGCACATTGCAACAGGTTAATCCAACGTAAACCACTTTTATTTTACGTTATGATGTAGAAATGAATGAATCATACTCACTTATTTTATACATGCTCAGATTTTTACCCTTTTAATTTCTCATTTATTATTTTTGTATCTTTTATACTTTATTTCCATGAGATTATCTGTATTATCATTACGTTTTTCCTCAGTGTAATTAAAGGTGCAGTCTGGTTGGTGGTTTGGCACCTGCTTATTTCCATGGAGATGCTATTGCTTTGCTTAAAATGTTCCACAGTGAGGCATTAAGCTTGTATATCATGAATTCATTCAGTTACAGGTGTTACCTAATCAATCTTGAGGGGTTGAAGCAAACTTCTTTATCAGTGAGTTTGTAAGACAAGTCGGCTGGTCCTGTAGACTGAGAAAAACAAGAAAATACCATGATCTATCCAGTAGGGATGTAACAATAATCTATCTATCAAATTATCGTGATATAGTTAGGGGTGTCAAATTATTGTGTTAATTGCGATTAATTCATTACAGTCATATTTAGCGTGTTATGTTTTTTAATCACAAAAACGCCACGGCCAAAAACCTCGTCCTACTCCTTCTCAATCTCCTCCTTAAAACAAGTATGTTCGGGCTCCGGTACGAGAGGAACTTTAAAATCTCCAGGTGCTCGATGCTGCGTCCATGTTTGGACAACTTCCGTAAACACAGAGACGCTCACTGTGGTTGACGTCGTCGTGTCTCCAGTGCACATGCGGGACACTTTTGGACCATTTACTGTTCACACTGTAGTTCACATACAAGTCACATTTAATTGGAAATGTGAACGACCTCGCAAAAACATCGGATTTCACAAAAAAATCTGAATTGAGCGTTAAGCCCTGCAGTCTGAACGTAGCCTATCTGACCTGTAACTTGGCCTGGTCACGCTACCTGCTTGTTTCCATGGAGATAGAGGTTTACTGTCACACTGTGGAACATTCTAAGCAAAGCAATAAGATTTCCATGGAGAAAAAGTGACATTACTTTACAGTGCATTTTGAAATATGTCTTACCTGTCGTTGCTAACTGGTGTGTCTTCTGTTTTCAGTGGACAGTAACACGTGGGCGCAGGTGATCGCCCTGTACCCCACTTTGGTGGAGTGCATCACCTGTTCGTCGTCTGAAGTTAGCTCCGCCCTCAAAGAAGCTCTGGGGCCCTTTAAAGACTTTATGCAACCTCCCATCTCCAGAGTTCAAAACGGGGAATCATGACCCACCTGTTTGAATTATTAATAATATAATTTCCTTTTTTAATAAATGAAGAAATCTTGAATGTGATCCACAAACTTCACAAGTGCACAGACATTGAATTCAACTCCAGCGCCATGAAGCCAAACTTACTGAAGAGAGATTGAAAACAAAAACTTTTACCGACAATATTTCTTCTCATCTGCTCCATTCTCACAACAGACTGGCTTGTTTCACTACAATGATTTGGGAAAATTGCTGAGTTTTTCCCCGGATGACGTCGATGGATAAATGTAAAATGTGTGGTAAAAATGATTGAAATTTAAAATACTAAGAATGAAAAACTGGGGCTTTATTATTTGATCTTAATGAATTTTCAGTCAGGATTTTATGCAACAAAAAAACTACTGTATTTACTGTAACATTCCACGTCATTTTCAGCCAGCCATTTGAGAAGGGATGTACCTGTCTTTAAATAAATACGACAGTTTCAACCATTAGAACTGCCTGTTTTAAGTCATTACAAATGTGTTTCTCTTAAAGGTGCACTGTGTAACTTTTCTGGTGGAAGGTCATTCACTTGATTGACCTGCGTGAAGTTGGCCCCCCATCAAACGTACACCTACACAAAAACTATGTCAATCATTTGTGCTTCGTTTGTGCTGCAAAAAGTTTTGTTTGTGCCGTTTTAGTTTTGGAGATTTTAACAATTCTTTTTTTGGTGAAATTAGGGTCAACAGCCTCCAGGAAGCTTCAAAATGCTCTAAAATGACACAGAATGGAGTCAATTGTTTGTGCTTCTTTTGTGCTGTAAAAAGTTTGGTTTGTGTGATTCTGATTGTTAAGATATTAAGAGTTTTATTTTGGGCCGATGACGTCATCCAGCCTCTCAAAATGTTAAACAGCCTCAAAACAGCAGAAAATGATACGAAACGGTTGAATTTAGTTTGTACTGTTTTGTGCTGGGACAATTTTCATTTCTGCGAGTATATTTCTAAAATTAATAATTATTATTTTTGTGGAAATTCTATGAGGTCATTTTCCGTTCAGCTGACAGCAGCAGCTTTAGAGAAACAATCTGAGGCTGTGGAAAAGTCTGTATCTGTGTCTTTAGTAATTTGCTTTTGATTCATATTTTATATAAAAATACAGACTTTTCCACAGCCTCAGATCATTTCTCTAATTTAAAAAATATACTAACATCAACTAAAATGATCACAGCACAAGTGAAATTCAAATGTTTGGTATAATTTTCTGCTGTTTTGAAACTATTGAACATTTTGAGGGGCTGGATGACGTCATCGGAGGAAAAAATAAAACTGTTAATATCTTTAAAACCAGAATTGCACAAAGGAATGACTGCATTTTGGGCGTTTTAGGGCATTTTGAAGTTTCTTGGAGGCTGTTGACCCCAATTCGACCTATAAAAGAATCATTAATATCTCAAAAACTAAAGCAGCACATACACAACTTTTTGCAGCATAAACCAGCACAAACGATAGACAGTTTTTGTGTAGGTTTGCGTTTGATGGGGGCCGACTTCACGCAGGTACTTGTCTCCATGAAGATGGGATTGATTTACCTGGAATGTACCTGTACCTGTGTTTGGAGTTCTTGTGGAGCTCGAGGACAGAGAGCAGCGTGTTGTGTTTCTGCTGGAGCATGTTCATGAACAGAGATATGACGTTGGAGCATGTTCTTGATGCTCATAAATTTCACTGCTCGTTGTTGTGTTGCTGTCCATCAGTGCTGATTCTCTAGGCCAGGCATGTCCAAACTATGGTCCGTGGGCCAAATGCGGCCCCCAGACAAATTTTTCTTGGCCCTCAGGCTTCCAGGTGAATTGGCCCAAATTACCTTCCATCAATTAAAAATTAACTTTTTACTGCAAGTTTTTTGAAAATCTACCTTGATAAAGTGAATATTTTTATTTTAGTTTGTGATTTTAAGGATCTTAGCATGAATAAAGACTGATGGCTCATTCTAACGTGTTAAACCTGCACATATTTTAATTATTCTCTGTACTGAGCATCAGTCTACAGTCCTCGATCAGCCCTCTGATTTATCTGTGTTTAGATTTGTGGCCCTTGATGAAAAAAGTTTGGACACCTCTGCTCTAGACACTGGTCTATGCCCCCCCCCCCCCTTCATACTGACCTGTCCCAAAGAGGCCCCACGTGAACTGTGCCCGTGGAAAAGAGGCAATAGTGCACCTTTAAAGTAATAAATAAAACTTTTGAGATGGTCGCTGTTGGACTGGGTGGTAAAATAATACTTGTACTTTATGATTTGTCTGCTGCTTTTTCCCCGTCAAGGCTGTTGGAGTAAAGTATAAAACTTACATTCATTAAAACGGCATTACGCTCATGTTTATTTATAATAATCACTGGGGCAATAGTGGCTCATAATGTCCACAGACTTGAAAATTGGTTTGATTTCTACTCACACTTCACTGAACCAGAGTCTGTTTCATGGTGTATGTGTCAAGACTAAATTAAAATAACAGTGGTATAGAGATTTCATATTTGCCCAAAGCTTTCAGATGTTTTGGGGTAACAGAAGCATTTCAGAGTCCGTTCTGTATGACTTATTTTTTTCTGTGCGCGTCTTCGTTCGCCTCATCTGGTTTTATTGTACATCCAAGACGCATAAACCCAGTATCCTCCTTATAGGCACATAAAGATGTTTATGAGTTACGTGCGTAATAGTGCGTAATGGTGCCCCGTCCTTTCTACGTGTTCCCCGATTGTTCCTCGGCTCCTAGTTTCTTTCAGACACTGGTTTGGGTCAAATCGGGGGAATCGGGTTAAAGAAATGCGAATTGAGAAGATGAGACGCTTGGATCCGCTGCGAGAGAGGGGGAGGAGGAGGAGGAGAGGAGGAGGAAGAAGAGGAGGAGGAGGAGAGTGAGAGAGAGGGAGAGAATCTGTTTGGGCGGGGAATATCTTCTTCAGTCTGACCAGAAAGAAGAGGGAAGCGACAGAGCAGGGCGCGTTCGGGCTGCGGGGGAATCTGTGGAGGCATACCAATACGAAGAAGCGCTTTTTACGTCTATTTTTGACGCTTCCAGACCTGTAATGGTGTGACTTTTGGTTGATTCGCGTGTTTACCCACGTACTGGCTGAGGTAGTAGTTTGTGCTGTTGGTTGGGTTGTGACTCTGCCCGCTATGGAGATGACTGCGCAAGCTACTGCCTTGCTAGTGCTGGCGTCTCCCGCTTCGCTTCCAACCGAGGACACATAGAAAAACCTCGCCTCGACGCAAGCTTTTACTCATATTTTACAGGTAATTTCCCACATCTGCGGTACTGTAACATCATACTTTACTGCTAAAAAGATGCGTCGATTATTTTTGAACAGTTTTCTATCTGTATCCTGTTTTGAACTAAATAAAATAGTGCACAATTGTCCTCAAACGAACCACTTTGTCTGGAGTTTAATTTTACGCACGGGTCGTGTTGGTTATCTAATCGGTTGTGGTAGGTGTTAAAGCAAAAGTCTTCAGAAAACGGGTGAAGTTGACGTAAAAAACGCACACGTAAGATGAAGTCTACTGGTCTTACAGATTTGGTAAGAGTTTTGGAGCACCTCAGGCGGAGTGGGCTGAGTGCGATATAAGGCATGTAGGTCAGTTGTACTGTTGCTATGAAGAGGAGTGACGTGGCTTCTGCTGCCCACCAAGGTATCCTACGAGGCATCTGTTAACGTGTTTTGGCTTTTCTAGGTTTCATTATGGGGAATACTCACACTATATGAGCCCCTATAGGCCTATTGGGGACCTACAGACTGTCCAAGAGTCTGCTTTTTGGTCCCAGGCAGTAGTTCTTTTATGGGTTTTTTTTTTTTTTTTTTTTCCCTTTATGGCCACCAGTTTATTCTTTTGAAATTTTTCATGGCTCAACTTGACATTGCCATAGGTTCTACATAAGATGCCCTCCCAAGAAAGCCACCATCCTCACTCCAAAAGACCTGGGAGTGTGTTTTCTTATGTGTGTGTGTGTGCTCTCTCCCTAATCTTCATCATTCAGTAATAATAACTATTGAAACACTGAAATCTGGACCGTGGTTTCGACTGTATTGCTGTACAGTCCGGTGGGTTGTTGAAACATTTTGGATATGCACAGTTTGATCAGACACGCCTCTCTTTTCATCCAATCAAATGTGGTGTAGTAGTTGCATGTAGAATCTCACATTACGACGGTGGGGAGGCCGTAGGGGTGTATCAGGTCTCGTGATCTGGGGTGGAGACTAGAATAAATAATTGGACTAACTCACTGCTTGCTTGTGTATAGAGCGATGCAAGCCAGGGTCGAGCCAAACTGCAGAGAAGGGCGGGGGTGAGTGGGAGATGGACCCCCTTGAGCCAAAATGAGCTGCTCCCTGACTAAAGATTGGATCCTCTATTTGACCTTCCCACCAAGAGGAAAAAAAAATCCATGAAAGATTTATGGACTTGTGATAGTGGAATCGTCCAACATCTGGCTCTTAAGTCTGCTCCACTCCTGCGTAGGTTGGGTTGAAAAAAGTAAACAAACGGGTCTATTATGATTACGAGAAGGATTGTGGGAATTGTAGTTATAGATAAGTGTGGGTGTCACTGAAATAACTGATCTTATTTTTCTGGGGTTATGCCAAATGGAAATTTAACCCGTCTAACCCGACAGGAATATGCTGCAGCTCCCACAGGCCTGTCACTTTCTAAAGTAAATGAAACCCAAAATGTGTCCAGATTTATATTACGTTCGCATTTAGTTTGATTTTTCATGTTTTTTCAGGATTGAAACTAGGTCCAGCCCCAACTTTACCGTTCTAAAGGATGAAAGCAGCACTCAAACCTGTTAATCAGACCAATTTAAACCAGGAACGAACATTGTGTAACAGTGACTGAAACATGACTAAACCAGGACTGAAAAAGGACCAAGGAAATGGAAATTTAACCCATCTAACCCATCAGGAATATGCTGCACCTCCCACAGGCCTGTCACGTTTTTTGGTTGAGATTCAAGTAAATGAACCCCAAAATGTGTCTAGATTTATATTACGTTCGCAATTTGTTTTATTTTTCATGTTTTTTCAGGATTGAAACTAGGTCCAACCCCAACTTTACCGTTCTAAAGAATGAAACCAGTACGTGAACCAGTAAACCAGACCAGACCAGGACTGAAAAGGGTCCAACCCAGGACCAAGCCAGCACTAATCAAGCCAGGACTAAGCCAGTAATAACCCAAGTCTAAACTAGAACGAAACTAGATCTAAAGCAAAACCTTTGACCAAACCAAGACTGACCAAAAACCACGTCTAAACTAGATCTAAACCAAGATTAAATCAGGTCTAAAGGTATTGTCTAAATAAGGACCAAAACCTGGACTGAAATGCGTAGACTACCAAAAAATTGACTTTAACTTTTCCTCCAAATGCACATCCATCTTCACACATCCAGACTGAGGCAAACACTAGACTCCTGGTCCTTGTGACTGGCTGGATTTTTTTGTTTCCTCTCGTTT